TATGAAAATAAGCTTATTACACAATCGAAAAATCAGTATCACAGTAAGTAACACGTCCATTCATCATTTTTGTACCAGTCAGACACCAGAGTTATTTAGTGCAGTGGGTTTTCCTTCTAGAAACACCTTATCTGAAAATCTTTTAAGATTTTACTCTTACTTCTATCACTGGTTTTCTCTGGTGATTATTAAACTGGAAAACATAATGACTTAACTATTAAATTGAATAGATCTACTTAGGATTGTTATTTTCAATTTATTTGACACTTGAGACTCTTTAGATTCGTTTTTTCATGGGTCTTTGAGTATAAAAATCAGCGTTTGATTTCAGTCAGCCTTAACAACTTCAAAATTGATTACTTGTCTCTTTATTCATCTATTACTGGTTAGATTGAATTTGAGATAAACAAGAGTATTTTTAACCTTTGTTTACTCAATGTTCCCAACCTATTGGAGGAGTACGTTTTACCAAAACGAATAGATGGATTTACGAGAAAAGATACAGGTCTAAACTCACTAAATTGACTCCGTTTACTGCATATTCACTAATCATGCATAATTTGTCTTTATGCTAACCTCTGTAAAAGTATACGATATTCCAACCAAAGAAATAAGCTAGGCTTAATATGAAGAAAATAGTCTAAATGACTCACAATGAAATAAAAAACTGGTTGTGTATTCATATTACTAACAAGATTGTGTGGTAATTACAAGTTTAAGACATCTGACTCTTTTTATATAACTGAAGCCTGGAGTATGAAACTGAGTAGGTTTGTATTCGATCATCATTACATTTGTAGTACTTGTCGCTTGCATTGGAGCCGCTGAGTGTGTAGTGCTGACGTGAAATTTAAGGTTTCAAATAGGAACAAGAAGTCGATCAATGAGCTTACAAATAATCATGGAGTTAGGTGTTAGGACCATAGTCTGAACTATCATCTACCCTGATTAACAACGCTGTCTGTCTTAGGAGTAGGTTGATAAAAGGTTGACCGCAATCAAATAAAAACTCGGCATCAATCCATTAAATCTCTGATTTTCTGTTTAAGCCATGTAGAAAGGTTCAGTCGTCCTGCTTGACATCTATAGAATGAACATAATAAGTAGTTATAGACCTTCTATCCTATCGTTGAAAATCTGTTGCATCAGTGCAGTTCGATACATATTTTATCGTCTCATAAAACCTATGTTTAGTAATTTTCATTGTTTTCATTTACTGGAATCCCTCACACAGTTAAGCCTTACTCTTTATGTCGAAGTTCTCACTAGCATTCATAAAAGCATTTCAACTCCTTAATATCTTTCTCTCGTAGTGTAGATGGTTTGGTTTTGTAGATCGATTTACAGTTGTGCCACGTCCCATTTTGTTTATAACTAACTAGTCGACAGTATTTAAATATGTTTTCCGGGTTTTGGGTTCATATAAGATAATACAATTAATTTTCTTTCATTTTTACAGATTTTCACTAGCCTTTTAATAAAAATTAGCTTTCTGAAAATCAGCTTTAAGCAGTTTGGAAATCTCCCAAGTTTCCTTCCATTGCAGATTGTTTTCGTTTGTATTTTCTTTTAATCAAAGAAACTATTTGCAAAAGCCCCAAACATAAATAGGTTACTTTTTACTGTCGGTTCTCTTTGTACTAAAGAAACTTTTTCAGAAAATTCATTCAATTAAAAGGGCTATACTTCCTGTCAATGTATTTTTATTAAGATAGAGCTGAAATATTTATTAAAGGATACTTCATTGTTTTTTAGATGAAGATAAATAACCTACCGAGGTTATAATGAAGAAAACCGTTTCACATTATTAGAAGATTGATCTGAGTTTTCAAAAATTAAAAATCTTAACTTCCAGGTACTTTCGGTCTTAATTTGTAGTTCGAAGGGCTACTTTGTCCTGCATTTTGGGCATATGTTTCAAAATAGTCAATAATTAATACAGCAACTGCACAGTCATTATAAAATATTTTTTTTAGTCTGGTAGCCGATTTATATTTTTATTTGATATAAGAAATTATAGAGCAGAAAAGTTATCAGTCTTAAACTATACCATTCAAATGTCATGCACATGATTAGTTCTCATGCTGCATAATTCTAGAGAGGTTCATTCTAGGAATTTAAAAATAAAATAATATATACATTGTAGCACACCTCGGTTTCCAGTTTTTGTCATAAAGTCAGGGCTTTTTGTCACTGAATCAGCAAATAATCTGAGGTTTTCATCTGAGCTGTGTAGGCCAGTTGGCTATACTGATAAACATTATTTGTTAATGTGACAAGGACACGTCTTGTCCGTGTTTTTTATCATGTAAGTTTGCTTTCTTATTCTACTCTGGAACTAAGTAAACTGTATAAATGTTCTTCTTTATTTAAAGAATAAGCTCTTTGAATAAACTCCAGCTCACTAACATGCTAGCTAATTGATTTTAAGTTGTGCAGTCATTCATATGCTAACTCTCTATTTTAAACAATATACTACTTATTACATATTTATGAAATAACTACTTAAAAGAATGGAGTCTAATTAAATTTTAAATTAAGGTTCCTTTTTTGTTTTCAGATGTTTCTGTCAGTAATAATTTTAATATAGTATTGACCTGTTTAATACTAGAAAATGGCAAAATATTTCAAAGTGAATTCATTATTCATAGGAGTTTTGTGCTCAAATATTTTGGATTGTTCTTAAACTTACTGATCCTAATAAATCATAAATTTTGTTTCACTTAAGTACAAAATCTGGACTTCGTTTTTATTGATTATTGTGACTAATTAAAGTATAAGGAGTTTGCTTTTAAGTACTTACTTACCTACCTACTATCTAATGCTCTCACATGAATGAATACAAGCATACAAAGAAACCGAGATGTGTGCGTATAAATCTACAAATAATTTTTCTGGAATCACATCAATCAATACTCAATATGATGAAAGCGATAAATAACATACTCAACTCAAATCTACACGTGATTCATGTGAATAAAAGCGGTGATAGTATGCCAGGTTTTATAACATCAATTAAAATTTTTACGAAATAGTAAAGTAAGTTTTGATGTATTTTGACAAGTGGTAGAACAATAGTTATTGATTTCGACACAAATTCACTTCATTTAAGCAACCATTTAAATGCAGGCATCATAGAACAGCCCAACAATTCTGCTCTAAATTCCTACAACTGTAGCTGTTCAAAACCTTTATTGAGATAAAGCTGGTAAGCTTCCATTTCCATACTTGTCAAATACACCTTATAACCGTCAAATTAAGTTCGCATCTAATTGTCATTGTCACTGTATTCAATCCTGTTGGATGATATTACAAATCACAATTTTTGACTATGCAAAGTGGTTTGTGTTCTAGACTGGTGAACTGGTGTGGGATCTTATTGACAAAGAGTTGAATATTGAGCGACCTCATTTTCAAATTTTATTTATGACTTTTAAGTACGATAGAATAATGGGTCGATTGAAGTTAGATAGTAATATCGATGGATGCCGGCCTATTGGTTTAGACGTTAAGTGTTAGTGCAAGAGACCGAAGATCGTGGGTTCAGGTCTAGTGTGTCTGGTCGTAGATTCTCACTGTCAAGGAGACCCATTCTAGGACAAAACTGCTGTCCAATACTTCCAGGTTTTCAATGGTGGTGTAGCTTAAATTGAATAGTGATTTCAATTGCGGAAACGATATTATTTACTAAATCTCCAGGGTTTCAAATAATACTAGTTAATCTATTTGGTATGTGCTCTGTCAAGCTAAACAACCAAACATTTCCTCAAATACTCGTTTCATGGGCAGCAGCCCATCCATATGATGTGAATTTCTTTAAGTGTGATTTGATGTCTTTTGTACTCGTAAGATGTTTTTAATATAATGCAAAATAATTTTCCCGAATTTTCACCATGTGTTGTGATTTAGAATTGGTTTATGTGGTGACTCCTAATGTTAAAATTCGTATTTGACAAAAATAGTCAGTGAATCTTTTAATCACAACTCATTAACTGTATGCTGATACTATTTGTTTCGTGATTGATGGATACATTTTCAAAATGATATTACTGACATCCAGAAATGTAAACCGACTATAATGTACCTTTCAATTCAAGACGAATTCTGCAAAACACAGTCACTGATTTTAGGTGGAGTAGTTTTCACTTTATCAATTGTTTGTATAATAACTTAGGGAGGGCATGGATTTACAGAAATCCCACAAATTAGCGTCTTATTCAAACTTTTGTTTTTGTCGTACACAATTCTTTATCTCATTCAAGGCATACCTAGTCTCAAGTGGATCCAAATAACAAGTGAAAAACCTAAATTGCAGTTAAAACTAAATCTAACAAAATATATTTTGATTATTTTGAGTGTCAGTGAAATTTATTATGAAGCACCTTTACTTTAATGTCTCTCAATCATCCAAATATAGTGGAGCATTGAGAAAACTCACTTGATACTTATTTGTTTTCGTTCTAAATACTTATTCACATGTAGAATAATAAGCCCCTTAAATAATACAATGTGGATGCTTTTCTCTTGATCTAAAGCAAAATAAATCATTTGTTATTTTTTGACTTTTTAAGTTTTTGATTCCATAAAAACTAAGGCTTTTTACTGTGTCGAAGTTTTGCCACTAATATTTTGTTATCAATGAGCGCCATCTAGTTGATCACTTTTAACTCACCATATTTAGTTTGGAATCAAACTAGGTTCGGTAGATTTTCTTTATTGTCAGAATGAAGATTTATGGAAATTGTATTAATTTAGTGGTTGAATCCATGAGTCCAGGTTTTCCAGGGTGGTCTAGATTTTCTTTAATGTGTTTATCGCAATGAAACTAATGAAGTTTACTATCTGTCCCAATACAATGCATGTAAGACGAATATGATGTTTATGTATTTACATTTATATATTGTTTGATGAAATATTATATAGATATGAACTGGCGTTGTTAGGAAATCTAAAAGCAATAACTACTAAAATAATTTCCACTTTTTGCTCTTTTACATCAGCTGATGGATCTGATCCGGATTTGAGTTTTTTGAAATCAATTCAAGAAATATCTGGTTACTTGATTATAATGCATTCAAATGTAAATAATATACCACTGTCTAATTTGCGAGTTATACGAGCAAATAATGGAGGCTATAAAATACACGATGAATTAGATTTTGCAGCCCTAATAATCCGAAAGAACTATAAAGATGGAGAAACTCTGAAGCACGTTGATTTACATAACTTAAAATGTAAGTAATTTTCTCGTTAGAATTTTGAAATGGTTTGTTGATTTTGAAAATTAAGTGGTAAGTTATATATTCAGTGGAATGTAGTGGTTGGAAAGTAAACATAAATGGATTAATGCTTTTTATAAGTTTCAAAACATTGTTTTAGACCAAAACTCAGAGAATATTATTTAAGTGTGGCGTCTTCGGTATTCGTAAGTCCCGAAAACCAGGGTACTTTTCATTAACTAATGTGCAGACATTTTCAACCTGAAATTTGTTTCACAAGATGGATTGTAGGCTATTGATAAACTACAAATTAGTCTCTGCATTGCGACCTGGCTTGATTGTTGGAAAAATTATTCTACTGATATTTTTTTATTGAAATCATGAAGCAATCAACGTTAGACCACTGATGAGAAGTTTAAAGCACTGGAAATCATTTCGTCCCAGTATGGAACACCTTGGCAGTGTGCATCTGTGACCAGACAAGCTGGACTCGGACCCAGAACCTTCGGTCTTATGTGCTATCGCTTAACCACTGAGCTGGTATCCGACGATAGTAATGCCTAATTTTAATCAATCCTCGATATTGCGTGACCATCTTCCATTGTTTCAGTGGGCAACTGTGAGTAGAAAATCCTCAGGGAATTGGTAACTTGGTTTAAAATTTCGCTAAGTATACTCAAACAAATCTAGTTAGTAATGGTTATTTATGATTTTATTAAATAGGTTTTTCGTATTTTACTAGTCCAAAAGGTTTTCTATATCCAAGATATTTTGCGGCTAATTTATGAAATCCTACTATAAAATGATATCAGTTTAAAAATTGTTGTAGGTTTAATACCATTACATATTTGTTTCAGAATATTTTGGAACTGTAAATATTAGAAAAGTTGTTGTCTGAATCCGCTCAAAATATTTTTGCGTTGAGTTTTGACAAAATCTCTAAAATTCTCATTTATTTGATAAGTAAACGCGTTCGCGTGTTACCACGTTATATAAGTTTAAACAGCTGCATTGGATATCTTTGTGTTCACTGTTAGATAACTGTTTAGTAATATATTCATCAATGACCTATACATCGTAACTTATTATTAAACCGAAGTTTCAAAAACTATGTATACATCAGTTTAATTTATATAATCTGATTGACAAATGGTTAAAAATGCGTATATTTTAAATGGAAAAACGTCCTATTTCTACCTAGAGAGATTCTAATATGGCGCATCATACTGACTTCCTTCCAATCATTTATTTTGCTTCTTGAACTGTTTACCGGACATTAGTTTAAAATGAAACCTTTCTTGATGGTTATTTAGTTGTGCGAATAAATTTACCTCCAAAAAGTAACTTAAAGATAGTAGTACCATTTAAATAAGACACTCATTATGGTAAATGTAATTTTGAAACTCCGTAAACAAGTGAATATTACCAGTTATAACTAACACGGGCTTTTGTACCGAAATAAGAGCTAAATTATCGTGGATAAAGTTTTGGAATCAACTAACTTGGAGAACATTCGTCCGCTCATGGCAACTGAGTAAGTTCCTAACTAAACTCTAGTTACAATTTTATGACCATCATCATTTTCAAGAGTCATGTAAGCAAACTGTGTAGACACTTGAATCCATAAAATTATGGATATATATATATATATATATATATATATGCAGCACGATAAACATGAATGCCAACTGCGTATTTGATGTGAAATAAATATTTCTTTCCAGTGATCATAAAATAAATGATATTTACAAACAATAATTTGACATGTAGAAACGTGTTTTTCTAATGTTTTAAATAGTCATACACACTTTTTATAGGTTTAGTCTTATCTACAGGTATTTAAAAAAACAAACTGTGAGAAGGTCATTAACTCATCTGTACTGTTTCTCACATATAAGTCAAGTGAAAAACATTTCAAGTGGATATATATATAGCATGAAGATTATTATAAAGCTTAAATTTTACAATGGAATGTCTGACTAGAGCAAATCCTACTGCAAAATATAGGAAGGATTTTGCTGAAGTTTTGTTCAGTGAGCTGGATGGTTTGGTTGTGAAGCTTTCATCGTCCTTTTGAACGACATCATCCGGCTCAGAGTACAAAACTCCATCAAAATCATCCACCTGAGCTACAAATCTTCTCCACCATATGAAGGATCATATTTAAAACAGCAACAAAATCTTAAAATCGGATATTATCTAGCTGTGTAAATCCACATAAAGAAGTGAAATTTCACCCTAGTATTTGAACGACTAAATGTTCTCAAAGTCTTTAGATAGACATTTTTGTCTTTATAAACACAAACGCCTAATGGTTTTCTACCTGATATTTCATGTCGAACAAAGTATTTTGTCATTATTTTGGTTCTATTCAATTATTTGCATTGTTGATGTGATATTGTATGGGCATCAACATGAACTGGATATCAACAGTTGAGCAGTATATAAGGTAAACTAGTATCCAAATATCTGAATGTGTCAAAGATTTTGATATGAAGTAAACGTTTATGAAGTGTTATCATAATAACGAACCTAAAGATGACTAAATTTATATCAACCCCAGCAATGTTTGTTATTAGCTACTGTCTCCTTGACACGAAGATGACTGTACAAGTAGCTCACCAGCATTATATATATATAGGAATGGAAGCGTTACATTACGTTTAAAAACGTTAGTGTAGTCATAGTTTTCACGGGAAATCATACAATTCTACTGTTGATTCGTGTGGCTGAATTGAATGTGTTGCTTCCAGACATATGTTCCTTGCATTACATATGTCTCAAATACCTTGTGTTTTATTTTTAAAATTGACAATGGATAATAATCAGTTAACTCTACCAAGTCAACAAAGAACAGTTTAAGCCTAAGTAAACAACTGATATCTGTTGAACAAGAAGTCTGTTAGTACTATGTTCGAGTTTTAAAGCGGTAACTAACCTACCGGGAGTGAAAATGCACCTAGTTTGCATAAATAAACATGCTTTTGTTCTCCACTTCATGACTGATGTGTTACCACATTTCGAGTTATTACTGGATGTGCATTAACTTCATGATACATACAATTTGTATTCTATTAAATATAAGTGCTAGTATGCTAAATTTACTACTTTTCAATAGTACATTTTCAAGTTTTGATAAATATATCACAGCATGCATTCCTAATAAATCAGAACATTATTTAAATATACAAACTTTATAGATCAGTAATATATATATATAACGGGTTTATATATATAACGGGTTTTAGGACACTAAGTTATAGGAAACAGATGAACTAACAAACACGTCAATTTTACTCATGCTATTTCAATATCATAATTTAATTTCGCCTTAACTGTAATGAGGTTTAAATGAAAATTTGATGAAATCATAAAGCTAAAAACTTCTTACAGTTCTTTAAACGTTTACCCTACAACTAGTTTGCTGTGCTTTGTCATTATTTTATGCGGCTTCCAAACTATGGTTCTACATCAGAGGCATCTTGCAAAAGTGTCACTACTTTAAATATATCAACCGTTTATGTTTGATTCTCTTATATTCGACAACTTTATCGATTTTGTAAACGGATGTTGGTGTTAATTTATTCAAAATTCTGGTCCAATATATCGCTTTCACGTAAGAGTAGCCTGCTATTGCATCTCGTTGCTGATCCGAAGTCTAACCTCATAAAACACCGAGTTCAGAAGTTAAGGAACTTTATTTTGTCATCTACGTAAACAATAGGCACTAAAACGAACCTTGTGCCCACAATTAATTACTGCTTACCACAGTACAGACCCAATTGTGTGGTTGTTTTACCTAGAGATCTATGATCGAAATAGATTTTCCTTGCCGTCAATGCTTATCAAGGTAATTATTGAAATGAAATCTACATATAAATTTTAGGCATGGTTTCAATCTTACGTGAAATCTAGTTTGTGAAATCAGATGGCTTTCGCATATTCAGAAACCTTTCATATTGATCGATATATTTAGGTAAGGGATAAACTCTTGAAATTATAACACAGCACTTTAAAGCTTTTCTTTCGAAACCATCAATAATGTGCGGCAAACAATACTTTAGATACCCTAAATTAGACTTGTTATACACCATGATCAATAAACAAAACAGGTATTTAAAAATTATGAGATGTGAAAAAGTTCAATTCATTCCTTCCAGCCTATGTTACACAACCATTGAAAGCTTAATTTGTGTGTACCTGTAATAGTTTTAGAGTAGTTAAAATGAATTTTGTACCAAATAATTAGTGTTACTGTATCAATTGTTGGTGAACAGTTCTTATTCGACGTCAAACTAAATGTTAAGAAAATATTTATGTTAAGAGTTATTGAGTAGAAAAACACCATATTTTAAACCTAGACAATTTGAAAAACAAAGATTAATGAATACATGGAAATAAGTTACACAGTCTGGCAAACAATAAAGCCACAAGTATAATAGTATAAGTTTAGAACTTAAATTTCATTCCAAGAATGTGAACAGGATTAACATTATGTAGATCATTACTGAGATAGTTTTGAAAAGAAATGCCTGAAGGACTAGTACCATAAAGCACCTTTTAAAACAGAAAATGAAGTCGTCATACCTACTAGTAGACTATATGGGTTATGTCACTAGGGTACTGATGCAAAAACCTTTAGATTACGTGAATGATAGAAGAATGAATTTCAGTCAGAACAATAATTAAAATATACAAATAGTGCCTAACAAGACATCATGAAACTGAATGTCGGAAACAAATCAGTGAGCTGTAGAACTTGTCACAAAATTTAGTGATAAGAATCAGTCCGGTAAAAATGAGACCATGTAGACCAAGTATCCGTAAAATATTCACAATAGATAGTAGTTAAATTGTGAATTGAGCAGGTTGGAGAAATTTCTGGCCGGAATTATGGATTCCAGCACGCTTTGATCTGTGATGCACACTTTCGAAATAGTCTTTTCCACAAAACAGGAAACAATGCATTGTCTAAGTAAATAAATCAAGTCTACCAAGACTTGACCATTAACATATAGACTGTGTAACCATCTATATGATGAACAAGTACTTCGCTGTATTTAAAATGACTTGGAACTTGAAAATGTTTGTTATGTATTTTAAAACATAACAATCGAAGTTTGAATATGACGGTAAGTCAGTAGAAGGTGCATGTTTAATGCTGGATTTTTTTGTCTGGTCTTCTAAATGCTTCACATAAAATCTGTGGATTGTTTTCTCCTATGTTTTCATTAGGCTAAGAAGCATCAACTTTAGAATTTCAATTTAAAGTCTTGCACAGTCTATTATTAAACTGACAGTAACTATCGTGAAGTTTAACCTGGTTATTCGCTACTAAAAAACATCCATAAAGCTATTTTCAGTGTTTATTGGTGTTCCAAAGAAAGTGAGGTAATAGATTTCGGAACGCATCATCACTCTCTTACTCATCTCAAGAACCCGATGTAAATTTACTTCCATGTAGAACCTTATGTGTATGTTGAGAAACGTCATAAGTAACAGGTATAATGATGTGATGTTTTCATCTAATTTCTTTTTAGGTCACACATAATCAATGCCATGTTTTTTAAACTAAAGCTAAAATTTCTACTATGCCTGCTTATTCTTGAGTCCGACAAATAACTTTTCTAATAGATTGAAAATGAGAAGGAAGTAACTAACTTTGTAATAAAGCATTAGAAATCTGTTTGATTAAAATTAACTTTGTCTGAATAACTAGTTTACTTTTATAGGTTAGTAATGTTGACTGCACATTAAATTTCAACGATAAGTATACAGTTGAATTACTGACTGACTATCCTTGTCATTGGAAATATAATTCAATCTGATAAAGAGAACTTCAAAAAGAAGAAACAGTTTATTACGAATGGTTTGTAAAGAGACAAAAACTCGCTCTTAATACGTTAATGAAACTATGATGACAAACAACTAAGATGTCCTGCATTTGTATGACATAAACTCGTTAAAAAGTTAATAAAAATGTTGATATTATTAAATGAAACTAAGATCAATATAAGCATTTCAGTTAGTGTGTTCTGAAGAGCAATAACGCCTGAGTCAAATATATTTTGTACCCAATCAATTTCACACTATATAGTTAATTATACACTCAGACTTAACCTAACTGATGAAGATTATAGCGATTTCGATAACCAAGTAAAATTAAATGAACCAACGTTCACACATGAAACACTACATGGTGAAATATGGAATTAAGTCTAAATATGCACGTGAATTATTTGCTTGAAAGTTAGTCACCAAGTGGTAACTGTTTTCTTCAAAATTACATAACTAGTAAAGTCAGTAAGTCACGTCATCAGATTGATGAACCCCATTGGACAGAGCATTTAAAACATGTATTACACATATCCAGTTAGTAGCTATTTTAACTTTCCGCCGTCATTGGGACACAAATCAGTTAAATAAAGTATAGAGTGGCCAAGCAACTGCCATACAACACTATATGGCCTTACCTCAGGCAGCTACCATAATTCAGCTTTTATTGAATTTCTGTATGAGTGTAGATATACAGATCCAGAGTCGGAGCTAGAGGAGCAGCTAGTGAGATAGACAATCAACCTTTTTAGACTTTTAAAGGGAAGATGAGAATAAACAGTCTGATAATACTGTTTCCCCTATTTGTTATAAAACCTTACTTAAATAGTAAATTTATACTTATGTATCATTTGTTTGTACCTTGACTAGAGATATATTCATAATAGATTTTCTTTTCATTGATAATAAAAATAAGGAATTCTAAGAATCTTATAATGGTATATGAAGTGTAATTGTATGAGCTTTTAAACATACCTGAATATAAATTTTGCTTTTCATAAAGCACACGTTTATCTCTTTCAAAATGACACATATTGATCTACCAAAGAAGCTTTAACGTAAGCTCAAAAGAATGTTAAGATTAGACCTATGTAATTCAAACCGTTGAATTCAACTGGATCCCAAATTTCAAATAATACCAAGAAACAAAAAAGTTATTTAATGAGATGACAGATTATCAATAAACTACTTAAAATGTCAAACAATGTTCCGACTATTAAATACATTAGGTCATAAAATATTTAAAAAAATGTCATCCACTACGTGTTATTAATGAATGAGAACCTATCGTTAATTGATTTATGGAACGGGCTTTAGCAAAGAAAAAATCATTGAGACTTATTTTGTGGCAACACTAGACTACATCAAATGAGCATCTGTTTAGTTATGAATATAAATATAAACTGAAAAAATTGAGAATTATCTGAATCTGATAAACCTATAAAAATTATATTTAGAAGCAAAACATGATGAAAATTTATCCACTTTAAAATGTTATTATATTTACCGAAATGTATAATGTATTTTCACCTTATTGTTCTTGTTTTATACAGCTATAGTTCGTGGTAGCGTTTATATATACGATAATCCTGGACTTCAGTATTTGCCGGACAGCATCCACTGGACTGAATTATTTGAAAGTGTTGGAGAACAGAACTTTTACAGTCATAAGCTGATTCAAACAAATAGTTATGGAGAAAAAAATATCACTATTGATCTACAACTGTACGAACATAATCCACACGACATTGAACCAGAGCCAGTATCAGCTAGTGTGAAGTCATGTAAGACAATTAACTTTATGCTATACTCATCAACCTTATAGTATTTAATGTAAATTATCTTCATTGTTAAATGCTTAATCAATTTCAGATTCCATCTCACTTGAATTTATGTGGTACGGAGATATTAAATAGTTCAGGAAAGATCCTTAGCATCATATTAGCAATACTTATTGCTCATATTTATTTCAACCATGTACCTTTTGCATGAAGAGATGTTCTCGTAGCAATATTATAGACTGTGAGCATGTGTTTTTATGAACATGATTTCGATAATAAAACAGGATAAGTAAAATTAGATGTTATCTATAATCAAAAGTATTTAATAGTTCTGAAATTTATCTATTTTTATTCATCACATTGGTTACTCACATTGGTTTGCTAAGAATAAGACGTGTCGAAGATAGCTAATCCAAAAACTTACAATAAATATGTTACAACTTTTAGTCTGAAAAGGATGGAGTCAAGTAATTATGTTGATTTGTAAGCAATATTGATTTTAAAGGGTTTTGAAATTCCTATGAAGATTTCTGAGATGTTTTCTACATATAATAGGACGATTAGTTTTTTATTTTCCTAGGTAATTTGGTATGTATTTTAGTGAAATTGCTGTAGTAGACATTTTTATGAAATAAAAAAGACTGTTTTTAATGCATTGTATAGTGAATGTAAAACCTGAAGCCTCTGAAGATACCTTGTTACAAATAAGGCCATCAGAAGGAATTGATTCGGCGCCTGTGTAACACTTGATGAGCTTATTTCTACATGAAGTAAGTGGTGATGCTTTCGTTTAGAACGATAACGAATGATAAGAGAACATACCACCATAAAGATGTACTTGAGCTGTTAATCTTTTCCAGCATTTTGATATATATATATATAATTAAAGACGTGAAAACTGGATCTTTATATTGGCTAACAGGTGGAAATGAAGTTTTACGCGTGTACAAGTCAAAATGTACATGAATACTGGCGAAGGTTCTTTTTTTCAGTTGTACATGTTAATGTCCTCACATTTTGTTTTAAAAAATAAAATATACTTGTTTAAAATCATTCTCATGATTTAGTCGTGGGCGGAATCATTCACGAAAGTAAATCTAAAATGTTAATTTAAATAGATTTTTTCAACCATTTTTTAAGAATCTATGTCAAAAGTAAAAGTGACAACCACCAAAAAATGTAAAAGATTTTATTTTACCCTTTCGGTACTTTTACAGTACATGTAAACAGATTTTTCAGACTATTAACATTTTTAGAAACTAATCAATTCAATAAGCAAATTCTTAGCACTCAACAAATGAGAAGGCAATCCAGAATTTTTAATGACTAAACTACGCTTGCATTCTAGGTTTAATTGGTTGACTATAACAAGTTGCGGCATTGTAAAAGGTAATATACTGTAGAATCTCCACTGACCATATATCGAGTCACTTAGTTGAGACATTTTTGGAGTCCCATTTAAAGTATCCTGATTATTCAGTTGACAGTGACCCGATATGCACTCTATGTCGCAAACCGATTCATTCCAAACACACTAAAAATTTCTGAACTTGCTGAGAAATCATTCGATAAACGTTTCCTAGCCTATCTTATCCGATGTTCAAACTGAAAAGGACAACTGAATAGTGATTCACCTCATACCTGAGTTAAATGATATTAAAATCAATTCCAGGTGGTGGAGTTAAGAAAGAGGTAACCTGACACAAATTTGTCCAAAAGCCGCAATAACAAAATTTAAACTTGAAAGACATAGATCAAAGCAGCTAATAATAAGTACGCAACCCGTAGCTTTTAAATGTTATGATATCCTTCACGTTCACTACATAAACCTAGTTGCAAAATGGACTTAACAATAGCTCTATCCATGATTAATACCGCCAATTCGAGAGCAGTGAATTATCGATCGAACCAATGACACACGAAACCCGTGCGAGCAATCTAGAGTCCTTATCGTTCATGATTTCCGCCTAGCCCAACCAGTTAAGTTCAGAACACCAATAACAGCCTCTGCAATATCAGTCATTATTCTCAAACATACTGGGTTTATATGTCAGACAGACCATATCGTACCACAAAATAGAAAATGACATTTGTACAAGATTTAGCCAAATGTGGCTGTGAATGTGGGAAACAGAAATTAATAGACTGGGTATAACTCAAGAATGGTAAATCATATAATAATAGTTCATAGGCCAAAATAAACCCTATAATAAAAGGGACACGAATAGTTTAGTTACTTAACAATTATACAATAATAAATAAACATATCATATTGGTCTATAAATAGTTCTCAAAGTTACCATTCACTATTCTTATCGGGACATAACACTATAACTACAATTACAAGATTCACATGTTTTAAGTTCATGTGATTTTTGAGTTAAACATGCTAACATTTGCACTCAGAATGCCAACATTTCACCTTTTTTATGATCATCAATTAGATTCTTATTTTTTACCAATGATAAATAGAATAGAGGGTAAAAAGCTATCTTAAGGATAATAAATAATGAGAAATGCCATAAAATTCCTAAGATTACAATGCATAAGAGACGGTGAGTAAAGAATAATAATTGACGTCAATCTATTAAACTCCAGATTTTTTTTTAAAACCGAAGTGGTTGATTTGAATGAAGACAACTACAAACTTTAGAGGGCTTAGTGTAATGAAATAAGATACTAGAAGTTATTGTAGCGTAAATTTGATCTACTAACAAGTAACCAATGAATATTAGTGAAAAATAAGTGATTAATTGACTAGAAAATCTTCTAAAAATTAAAAATAATGATCTGGAAAGCTATTTACAGTTAGGGTTATTCCATGCCAACAACGGTGATGCAATATGTATAGGAATGAAGAACTATATTCGCTTACATTATTGTCCTAGGAGGAATGTTTCTAGACAACTGGATATTCACTCTTAATGTGGTTCCTTTGATTTCGAAACTCATGAACTTTTATTGATCTTGCAAAGTTCAAACTTCAAATTCATCTGCATCGTATTTAGTCGTTAGAGCATTTAGGCAAATACTTATCATGATTTAAATCGAAGATAATTTTTATGATTAAAAGATAAATCAAGCATAAATATAAATTCATAATTCAAAAGGGAAAACGAGATTAATATTAACTTCTTAGGTTACAAATTGAAACAGAAATATAATTCGATAATGTATGTAAAAAATATTAGTAGACATACTTGAACCATTTAACTGGTCAGCCCTATTTTAATGTGATGTCTAATGTTTGCATGTACGAAATAATTAAAGAGTTAACATTTGATTTGTAAAACTCATCGACAAGTGGTTTTCAACTGATTTTATTTCACTACCAAATTTTTGAGATTCTCTATTCGAGTAATTAGTGGTTATGAGTCATAAATATTTGCTGATTTATCTACACAATAATTCTAAATGTATATGTTTATGAATGTAAGTTGAAGGAATTTCATGTACACGCTTTTTTCTAAACGAAACAAGCTGGCATACGTGTTTTTTGTCGTTTATTACTAGAGCACATCGATACATTTCAGACTTTTCTATTAAACTGATTTTGTATGTTATTTCTAAACATATTTACGGACTCATGTATCTAAACCATTTCATAACTGAAGTAAGGCACACATAAATAAATAAACCAGAATTTGTATACATGTACATACACGGTAATCTCATGTTACCTCATAACAAAACATTGACCCAAAAAATAACCACAGTTCATTTTTAAAAATATTAATTTTCAGACATTTTAATAAACAACACTCAAAAATACTACACTGTTGGTCGCTTTTCATCTCATCTTTTCTACGAAGTACAAACACACTATTTATATATATATATATATATATATATATATATATATATATATATATAATTGTTGGTTTCTGTTAGATTGTACCTGGACGTCAGTGGAAAAAAATCACGTCAATGTGATTAAAATCAATATTTAAACAAATCTATATTTAAAGGGGTTATGTGGATATTATAGTTGAGATCATGAGTCAATTGAAGCTAGACCACCACGAAAAACCTGGAAGCGATGAACGGCCGTTTCGTTCTATTGTTGGAGTTTTAATTGAATATTCAAAAAACTATTTTTGTGTTAATTGACAGCAAATGATTTTCCGAATTAACCAAATATTACTCAAAGTCACTGTAAACAAGTCTAAAGCATTAGCTTTTCTCTAAAGAAGCTCGGATAATAGTGGCGTATAACTATTGCCACCTGACGATCATGAAAACTTTGACAAGTTTTCCCTCTCGGTCAGAGTTCCTTATATCACATTTTCATCCTATTAACATTGAGATTACTGAATGCCATAGTTCAAATGTTTTCTGCAGAAAATGAATATCTCTGGGTTGGCTCAAAAATTGTTTGGTAATAAAGAATTAATATATTACTTGCCTTTAAACTTTACGAATCGTTAAACGCTGTATTATTATGTCATTTCTGCAGCCAGTAGATGCACGGTTTTGCGTATATAACGCCTAAAGCCTTTATGACGTTCGCCTTTTGTTTTTTTAGCTATGTCCGCAGTGTCGGTATATATATATATATATATATATATATATATATATACGATTGCACAGCTTGATAATAAATTCATCGGAAAGAGACTCCTTTGTATCTTTAAGCACTATATATTTGCTGATTTTAAAGTTAGTATGTGACCCTCTTTTACCCCTGATGAATTGTTGACTAATGAAACTCCAGTATTGATTAATGGGTGGGTATTTTTGTTTTAAAATCATAAGAATTAAACCATTTGTTTAAAAAAAATTATTAGTCTCTGGTTTGATTAAAAGTGGAAACTAATTCATAAGAGAGAGTAAACTTTGTTCCATTCCAACTGTATGTGTCAACCTTCATTATCCGTAGACACGTTTTGACCAAAATTATCGATAATTCGGTGCTACTGCATTGAGCAGTTGTTATAGAAACTACTTGTATCGATATCATAACATTTTGTTTTTTCATGATGTATCAATTGATACTTGGCTTGTTGAATGACGAAGTATTATTACCTGGAACGTTTGTGCAATTTCACAAGACATATATTAGCAATGAACGTTATAGTTGTGAATTCTTAATTTTTATGAAAGTAGTGTGCTTCTTCTAACCAAAACTATCATTAAATTTACTTGATATTGTTTGTTTAAATCTTCCCATTAATGTTTAGGACTTTAATTGATCAGTGTGTTATTGGGATACGTGTATACTGTGCGTATTGCTTCGATATAGCCTTATTTTACAAGCATTGTAAGCAAAAATGGGTAGTAGCTAGCAGTGGAATCCAGGACGCGCGTTTCGTCCTAATTGGGACTCGTCAGCTGAATGTACCTGCATCTCAGAGTTAATGTTCACTCTGAGACTCGAACCCAGTACCTTTCACTTCAAACACCATCACGTTATCCACTCAGCTACTGAATCGTGATAGCTACTTGCCTGTAAAATGGGGTGAACTTTAAATTCACTTGGTATATCGAGGCAATAAGCACAGTATGTACATATGCCAATAAGAGACTGATCAATTGCAGTCCTAAACATCAATGGGAAGATTCAAACGAACAATACCAGGTAGATTTAAACTTCACCCCATTGCACAAGCAAGTGGCTATCAGGACTCAGTAGCTGAGTGGATAACGTGATGGTGTTTGAAGTGAAAGGTACTGGGTTCGAATCCCAGAGTGATCATCAACTCTGAGATGCAGGTACATCCAGCTGACGAATCCTAAATAGGACGAAACGTGTTCCTGGATTCCCCTGCTAGCCACTATCCATATTTGCGAAACTATTATTGTTTCTACGTTGTACCAAACGTATAGTGTTGAAAAGAATGTTAACTTTTATTCTAAAAGTTAGTCATTTCTTATACATCAATATTTCTCTAAGGGCATGTCAAATAGCTATTTAGTGTCTTGTTAAAATTCATTGCTCTTTAATTAAATTAAATATTCATCTTATGGACTAACGTCTCAGTTAGAAAAGTGAGTAGTGAAACGGGAATCGGGTGGTTGGTTTTCCGAAGTACAATCTAATAAGAGTTTGTGAGAATTGATCAAATACAGAAAATCATTGCATCGTTTTTTCAGTATTCAGTTCTTCTGTTAGCATTTGAGTAATATTTTTCATATTTAGATAAAAACAAATTTAGTACAATTAATGAATAAAACTTTAAGAAGGAGATATATTTTTTCAAAGCCTTGTGGAAATATAATCCTTAACAAAGCTTGGACCAAATTACTGAGAAAAACGTTAGATTGACTTAAAATCTAATCGCTGAGGTTTTACAAATATATCTTTCTTCCTTAATGTCATATATTAACACGTCGTCCGATCACTATGAAACTATGCGTTTAAATTTAGAGGAAAGTTCTGATAAAATTAGTGAATAAGCTCCCATAACTGGAAAAAACTGATAAATTGTACTTCTTCCCTTCAAATAGCGTAACATTTGTTTTGTTTTACAGATCCAAATAGCCATCATCTACTGAAACGGTTATTGTATCACACATTTATGAATAGATGACTGTTATTTAATTAGTTGTTGAAGAGTGAACACAAAATCTGTAGCATACTTAAATCTTGATCATTTTATGAATGAACTTAGTTTTAGCACATTTACTTACACTTTTCCTTCTTTTCGAATAATTTCTATGTATGTATTAATTTGCCTCTTCCTGATGTTAAAGAATTGCCACATAATAAACCTACTAGATTTTAATAACGACTTTTAATTACTGTATGCGTCGGTTTGTTGTTAGGAGACTATGTAAGAAATTTCCGATCTAATTATAAGTTAAGATCAGTAAAACTAGATTTTTAAGAAAACAAAATTATCCATTGTAATCATCAAAAAAACATGCTTGAAATCGGACACATTGTTTTGGCATAATGTGTCCAAACACGACTGACATTAAAAGCCTCTATTGTTTTCCCATTATAACACATGTGACTATATAAAAATATGTGATAAAATAATTGTCTTGTCTTAAACAGGTCACACTTATCCGCTTTTTAATATTACGTTTATAAAACTTTGTTGACATTTTACCAAACTGTGACCAGAATAACAAAGATTTGGAAACAACGTTTTGTCCTATGCCACAGTGTTTTATCACAATTTATTGGTAGTTACTAGGAGAGAGTAAAAGAATATGTTTTGGCTCAACTTATACTATTCACCCTTTATTTTATTGGCATTCACGGCGAGAAAAAACAAGTGAACAACACATTTAAGTTCGATTATTCAAAGATATCAACTGTCACGTCTCAATATATAAAAGAGCACGACAATCTCTTTGTAAATGTAATTACTTGTTTAAAGCTATTTTATCTAACTAATATCTACCTATAATGGAAATGTCAAATTAACTAGTTCAAATGGATTAACACGATACCTCAGTTCACTTTGTCACAAACCTATATAAACTGACCTGAAAATTAGTTGCTTATTTAAAGATTTTTCTCATTCTTAACTAGACTTATGGTTAGACTTCAGCTGGAAGTTTTTGAACATACTCTTTCCGTCTAAATGCAAGAAAAACATTTTATGTGAGCTAAGTAGTCCCAAAAATAAACCACTACTGTGGTATGCGCTAGTGCTGTAGACAGATGTAAGTAGTGTGTATCAGCAATCAAAAGTGAAGTTTCTGGAGGCAGAAGGTTAAGAAGATCGAATAAAAAAGATCGAGAACAGAGAGTGTTTGGTGTGGAAGCGAAGGTACAGTCAACTCTGAGACGATTGATCGTCATTTTGCAAATAAAGCATTTATTGTATGGTCCTCAGATTTTCCTAAGACATTCTGTTTTAAAATGCATTTGTTTGTTCCCATTGCTCTTTTCGTTCACCACACTGCTCTACTAACTTTCAGCTGCAACTATTTCCATACGGTATGAATAAACTATTTTTAACTTCGTCGTATACATATAAATCACTCTTATAGATTCACAAAGTTCGGATAACCTCAGAATAACGAATATCCAAAGAATAACTTGAATGAATCCAAGTTAACGTCTTTTAGAGATCTTAATAACATTACAGATGAATATAGTATGAAGATAAAATAAGTTAAACATTGCAATCCAATTATACATCAACATGATAAAACAATTTAGATGGAAAAGTCGAGGGATACGGTATTCTAGAAAACTTGTGATAATGAAATTTCTTTAATTAATTGGAATAGGAATACAGATAATACAGAAAATCCAGCGCGAGAAAGTAAACAAGTTCACAACATGCGTTGAATAATATATTCACTAGCATACCATCCCTCCTGTTCTAGTAATTATTATCCTCAATATCCTCCAGTAATGTCTTATCATTTAATTAGATGTTATTCATTTATTATTTCCGTTCTCCCATAAAAGCGAAATTAAAATGGATTAATTAATCATGAAGCTAACAGTTGTTGAGCAAGTGTACTATATATATAATGATACAGTTGATCATGGTACTTTTTCCTTAAATTAAGAATTCATGCTAATATTATGTAATAGAACTTAATTAACGCGTTTTTTCTTCGTTTTATAACCATTACATATATGATTTTCAAACTTGTTTTAGATTACTATCACAATATTATTAGGCGATTACATTTTAAATCCCTTAGATGGACGTTTGTTATTTGGTGTGTGTATTAAATTATCACTATGGTTCTTCGTGAAATTAAAAGTGAAATTAAGGAGAAATTGCTGTAAATAAACCAGCATGTGTCTGCATGTGATGTTTTTTAAAATTTGTAAATAATGTAGTTACAAATAGATAGTGCTTTCGTTCTATCGAAGACTTTACTTCACGATAAGGAATATTATTTCATATCTTTTCTCAATAAACAGAGAATTCGATCAAGATGGTATATTAAAAGCATGTTGAAACTATGACTGAAGGAAAATCGCATTTACTTGAGCAGCTTAACGTTAAGCATTTCAATTTCGATGGTGAAAATAAGTTATAATAATGTTTTGCACTATATAAGTGTCTTGTAAAAAGTTACACCAACCCTAGATGAAACCAAGATATTCACAGACAAATGTTGCTAACCGATAGTCTGTCAGTACACTTGCTTGTACTTTTTCACAAAGACTCACGCTTTCAACTATGAAGAACACAGAGAGTTTATCACTATACTCGCGAATAAATGTACAATACTTTGCACTAAAATCCCAGTTAGTAATTACTCAACGATTCACATTTACAATAATAGATAAGTAAGGAACGCCCTTTTATCGTTATGAGCTACTTGATTCATGGTTCCGCGATTCTGAATCTTCGGCTGCTGTCAGCTCGTGATAAATTTCACTTTCAAATTATATGAATTATCCGAGAGTCAAACTATGATGTTATTTTCACCCAGAAATTCCATAAGTTGTTACTTGTGTGACAACACTGATGACATAAAGTTTTCAGTTGAACTAATCCTAACAATTTTTTGGTAGTTATAGCTACGTATTAGAAAGTCTTCCTTTTCTACATAACAGTTAGTCTCTGCTATTTTAATGGTTATTAATATATTGAAAAGGTAGTCATTTTTAATTTATCAGTGAAAATAACATCTGAATTTCCTTTACGTATGTACTGACCATATAATTCATTTTTAATTCAACTATGAATGATACATTTAAATAGAGACTTTACGTCATCTTCATCACAATGTTATGTGATAACCATCATCTTATTTTTTTCATGACAGCCTGTTCCAAACTTTGCCCAAAGATAAACAACAACACATATTGTTGGGGTCCTTCTCCGTCAAACTGTCAATACCGTGAGTTGTTTTTAAGATTTTATGTTTCGCTTAGTCATCTAAGAACTAAAATGACACAAACATCATGTATTCTGTACCTTAAGATGCTTTCCTCTTAGAAAATACCGACAAACAATCGAGGCTTTTGAAGAATGATGAGCTCATTGTTGTGGTTATTTTTTGCCTAGGTGAAACTTTTGTGGACTGTATAAGATAAATCCCAGTATATCAACTTCTCTTTTTTTGTTTAGAATCTAAATGTCAAAATTTATTATGCAATCGGTGTTTAAGAATACGAAATTCATATTCATGCTGTCACGAACAATGTCTTGGAGGGTGTACTGGACCTTTAGCTTCACAATGCGTGGTATGTCAATATATAAGAGTATATTTAATTCATATTTATTATTAGAATATCATTTCAAAACTGTGTTCACTGGTTGTGTCATTTTAAATTATTTACCGAAGAGGATTATTCTTAGTGGAATTATGATAAGCTCATATAATGGTAAACAAAGAACATTGATTATAGTGACATGTGGTACTGTGAATTCATAACACCAATACGTTGTAGACAATTTATGATAGAGAACTATGTGTTCTGAACAAAATCTAAATATTAAATTTACTCATGGTGGGCTTTATCCATACATAGACCGTGTACTGAAATTGTATTTTGTGTTTAAATACTGAATATGAAGTCAGAGCAAGCATTTTCTTCCATGTGATATGTAGTATGATAGACAAACTATCCTCAGACGTCGATTAGACTTATTTTGTTTTCTGGGGAAGAGTATAGCACCTTTGGAGAAGATACAATAATCGTAATCCAAAAAACCTGGTACTGAAGTATAGAGTTGGTTGTTGAAGGAATTATTTGGGCTATATACCATGTGGTGAAACAAACTGGTACCGGCAATATATGTTATAAATTTTAAGTAAGCATCTGATTCTTTTGAGCGATCATTGTAAGGGATGGGATAATATACAACTGTGTTAGTACTCGTCGTAATAAAATGTGGTAAGTTATATTCAAACGATACGAGAATCGAACGTGAAGTAATCAACTTTGTCCTGACAACAACACGTTGAGATCTCCTCGAAAATGTAAGCAGTTTTTTGGCGTGAAATTTTTTGTGAATATAAAGATTTAGACCTAATTACCATAATTACATTATAGTACATATACAAAAATTGTACAATGGTTATAATCAAAAATATTTCAGATCAATGTTAGTAGGCAATGAAAATGTTCTAGTTGAATGGATGAAATGTGATTAACAGTGCCATCAAGGATGCCCGTTCCTTAATATTTTGAACTTTTTTGTAGCATATACTTACACCTCAGAGTTGATGTTCACTTCAGGATTCCAACCCAGTAACTTACACTTCCAGCTATCCACTATGCTGTCAAGTTCAAATAGCCATAAATTTTAATCCAATTTATATAAGACTGATCAAAATTCACTCAAAAGTATAACAACCGGATAATCCAAACCATTATAGCTGAATTATAATTCATGCCTACTACACAACTGATTGGCTGTTTGAACTCGGCAGCAAAGTGGACATTGCTTTAGAAGTGTAAGCTACTGCGTTGGGATCCTGAAATGAACATAAACTCTGAGATGTAGGTACATCCAGCTAAAAAGTTTAAAATTTGATGAAATGCGCCTTTTTTAATAACACTGCTAGTTACATTTCATCTATTCGATAAAGAATTGTGAAGCGATGGATACATCAAGACAACACTAGCAGGATGACCACTAGCCACTTAAAACTGATAGAAATTTAGTCAACAGCATCAATGACGGGATAATCCAGGGACATTGCAAATTGAACCGAAAAATTTTGAGGTTTTCTTGTTATCCTTTTTACAGTTTTTATAGTTATCTTAAAAATCAAGTTCATTTATAAAACGTCGTTATGAAAATTTATCAGACGTGTGAATTACGACATCTAGTGGGTTGGATTATAATTGACAAATATTTTCCAACATACTTTTTTGTCTTTTCAGTTCATAATTAAAAATAGATTTTAAGCTACCCACAATTGCTAAGAACTTGTTGTAATTTATCTTCTGATCAAAACTATAAGAAAAACGTCTCTTCACTTAAATTTAAACAAGTTACTTATAATTAATCGGAACATCTATCTGACTTTTGACTTCATCTACTTGGATATGAAAACTCGTGATGGACTTTTATATAAGACTATCGAAGTCGATACATCTCATTAATCACTTTCTTCTACATCTGCTCTATTATTTTTCATTAATATTCATCTTTTGAAATACACCACTGTGTGATATAGATAACGGGAATTTTAACAGGTTAGAGATATTGTGGACTTCCTAAACAATAAAAGTGCTTAGACAATAAAGGGTTTTATGAATACGGAGATAAAAAAAATCCAAATGAATCAGTATGTTTATGACCAAAGGTAGACTTGTAGTGACTTTACTCAATATATAGTCGAACGGCCATAATGTGTTTTGAGGCCTATAATGAGAATGAATTGATAAACTCTGAAACTACTTTGTCTTTTCGAAGATTCGAGATCATCAACGAAACAGTTCATCTTAACCAGTATTAACTTGACTATCGAAATGAAAACACCAGTGATCTTCGAAAGAGCCTTAGACGAAAAATATCTCACTATTTTTCTGGAACAGAATCCTGAGTTTTGATAATGTAATAAGAAGACGAAGATTATCAGAACTATGTGATATATTAGCTCAACACATTCCGGACAATCTGATCACACATATACTTGTTAAGAACGTTTATATATAAGAATAAAAGGTCAACTAAACTGGTAGTGGGGGGTAAGAGGAGACAGGGATAATAATAATAATAATAATAGTAATAATAATAATAATAATGTTAAAACAATTTGACACCTAATCACTCTGGATAATAAGCTAATATTACCAGGGTAGGTTTAAAGAGAGAACTTCACCATTTAAAAATTACGACATTCTCTTAGCACGCTAAAATGGTCATGTTTTATTTTGAAATCTGCTGCAAAAAATATAAGGCTTCAGCAAACACCTACAGTTTGAAGAATGTGAATGTAAAAAGCTCAGTAAACCGTCTTGATTAATTTCATTCATTCTCGGAGAGATAAGTCTTGTTTGTTTAATTAATATAAATACTTGTTTTCTAAACAGGTTAAAATCATACCTTTATCAGCATGATGAGATTGGTTATGTGTTGATCAACTTTTCATTATTAGAACTTTTATCTATGTGTACGTTTTACATAGAGTTGCAAGAAAATTAATTATTCTACATAAGTAAAACAATCGATTATTTTGCAACTTTAATTGTGATATGCTATCTCCATCTGAATGTTATTCTAATCCTTTGATGACTTATTTCAACGGAAACAAATACCAAAAGGTTTAAACCAGAGACTTATTCATATTCATGAAAGATGGTTTTTAGCTCGATATTGTTTGGTAAAAGTTTCCGAAGTGTCCATGCAAAATATAAGTCAAAGGGTAACACGAAAAACCTTAATGAATGGACGATAGTCAAGAAACCAAGCTGTACATCTTATCGCGTTTTGCTAAAGTATCAGATTGGTGATTGAGTATTTTGCTGATGAAGAACTCAATGAACTATTAGAAAACATACAAGATATTTATCAGAGGAACCATGTAGATTGTAAACTAATAGAATAATTCGGTTCGTTTTGTTATTGTATTAAGTTGATTAGTTCAGTGTATTTACAAAACAATCTATTCATGGCGTTTCAATAAAAATTGTCTAACTCGACAAGCACATGAAGTTGTGTGTATCTTACAAGCAGAAGTGAGTAACTCCGGTGTTTGATGTATAAGTATGGATTTGAAAAACCTGTTCCATAACGTATTATTCAAACATGACACGGTTATGTAGACTTTCTTTGTAACTAGATACTTTGATCTCAAAGCTTTTTCCCGGTAATTATTTTCATATTCTTAAGGTAGATGAATTCATTGATTTTTATTCTAAATGCCATTTTGTTACAGAGTTGTAAAGAATATTATAATTCTGGCACATGTGTTGCACACTGTCCGTCTAGAACAATAATTCATGAAGGCAAGTTAATTTCGAATCCTGAGTTCAAGTACCGTTTAGGAAATCTATGCTTGTCTGTTTGTCCAGGTAGGTTATCAGTATGAACGAATATTACTGTTGGTTTATAATGCAATCTTTATTTTACTGCCTAGTTATGTTTCCTAGATTTCTAACACATTAAACAGCTGTTATACGGAATCCTATAAAAACTTGCTAACTAAATTTGTGCACCTGGCGACGAAGGAAAAGTGTGATTGCTTTTAATTCCTTCCATCTAGTTTTTGAAAGTCCCGTAGATACAGAGTCCACTACATTCGTCTTTATGTATAATCTTATTAATACTGTATTGACCTATTCACTATGAGAATTGGATGTGAATGTTTAAAATTATCGTTCAAAACTATAATTTCACTAAATGAAATACTTACATTTCTACATTCTAAGTATTGGTTTAGGAATTCTCGCATATTAAATAAGTTATTACAGTGCTAAAATCATATTCGGAAATAATGATATGTATGTCCCAAATAACAATGCACACTGTCACTGTACACAATTTAGCTATAAAAATTAAGCCTGAATAAATCTATTTTATACATATTTTGTTAGAAACCTAACTAAAAAACGAACTGCTTGGAAAAAAAACACAAATAAAACAAGTATTATAAAAATACTTCTAGATGTTATTGCGACTTAACAAAATCATTCACGAAAATATTACGTCAACACTATAGTATTCGATGAGATAACTAGTCGGGAATCGTACAGACCTATGAGTTACGTAACTCTTTATGGCCTGAAAGTCCTAGCCAGTATTAAAACAATATTTATAGAATTTTACTAAAAAGTGAGGATGCAACTGCATCTCACCGTTTTTCTCTATTTACCGTAAACTGTGAGAACACAATGAGGTGCTAGATATTGAAATATATTTCTCAACGTCCTAGTGAACAATCGTGATCCGTAAAAACAATCAAGTTGGAATGTGACAAAAACTAAATATTGAGATTTGTTAAAGATCGTGAATGATTCAGGGTTAACAATATGAAACATAAGACTGTAACCCAGAAATTTAAGGGTATTGTTATATCCGAACGAAGATTAGATGAATGGTAACCGTTAGAAATTATTTATGGACTATTATTACATATATTCTTATTGGATAATTATTAAGTAACTAGATTGGACATATATATTCCTTTTATCATAAACTTTCATCTGGCCTATCGGCTACTATTATACGATTTACTGTTCTTGGTTTGTTCCCAATCTGTTATTTATAGTCACATATATACATAGTCCTTTTAAGCTTGATCTTGAATAATAATTATTTTTCATTTCATGGTGTGATGAGGTCTGGTCTGCTTGTATATTAACAATGCATATCTGTAATATATTATTCATACAGTGGAGGCGGATATTATGTTCTGGATTCAACGAGCAGGACTATGAGGGAAGCTACCATGTCGAGGACCAATAAGGATTCAGAGCTGACTCAAAACTGCTAGTGATGGTTGACATGCCATCGTTATAGGACGTGGACAAGGTCATAGAAGTCGGTATTCTGGCTTGCAATTTTATTACGAGATATTTGACGAGCTATAGAACAAAATAGGTATCTTACTCCTTAAGGCTTTGAATGATCTGTATTAAATCCCACGTAGCGTCAAGAGTGTACACCTTTGAAGAGTGCTTGTCAAGAGAAAATTAGTGTCTATTGCATCCTAGTTATCGATGTTTCTTCAGTTCGGGTTAGATCGTAGAAAACGTTCTGTTGTTCATGTAAATAGTAGAAATGTTTTTCAAACCAACATATACGTAAATGGTATAGCCCAATATCCGCACTGACAAATTATTTTAGGACATTACCATTTGCTCTTGATATGGATTATCATAAGACAAAGAATAAGTATTTGGCGAATTTATTTAAAAACCATCTAGATGTAAAATAACCCAAGTCATTCATCAGGTTCCTTCATTGTTTAATTAGTGTTCACGAACTTCAAATCTAAGGTAGCTGTTTAACAGAACGCGCACATTTGTGTTATTATAACGTTCACCAGTAGAATAACTCTGTAAATTATGTTCTGAAAAGTTTTTCCATCACTTTAATTCTTCCTTGTGGTTCGTTCTAAAATATTGAAAACCATGTTCATGATATAACGTTTAGCAATAATTACTGTGAAATAGTACTTCACGAAAAGGAAGTTATATAATCTTCAAAGCAGAACATGTCGTTACCAAATTAGTATTAGTGTTTACTTTATGGGTTGATACATACTGAGTTTCAGCGCCCTTTTGTGGATTTGTTTTGATTACAGTCCTGAGGTCAAGCTTTGAAGGAATTTCGGATTTTATATTTAAAATTAAACAGCGTATATTTTAAATTTAAATTCAAAATGATCGATAAATTTCCATTAAAAAATTTGACTACTTTTTGTTTATTTCATTTTGGTTTCCAGATGGATTCATGGTTGAAGGTGATGTATGTGTGACTCATTGCTCTACAGGTAGTATGAGCACAGATGGACGTGTTTGTCTTCCATGTCAAGATAAATGTCCAAAATGTCAGTTTTTTATTTCACTTTTTCTTAGTATTTTTCTAGACAAACACTATTTTACAAATGGATATTCGATGAACAAGTACCACCCACCTTCAAATAGAATTTTGTTTATTCACAGTGGACACTAATTGTTTTTAAACGGATTATTTGGTCATTTTTATGTGGTATAAGATTAATTGAAATCACAGTTAATAAAAATGAATCACAAAATACTAGGATAAATGCTTAATTACTTGTTTGGAAGAGACTTGAAATGAGCAAATAAAGCATTAAAAACTAGAAGGCGCCTAGTTGGTGTTCCGTGGTAATCACTATTTCTTTAATTGGTGTAGTTCTATCCTGGAAACAAATTTTAAAGACCGTCTGAATACACCATCATGTACTCCAACTGGTAATATTGTGAACAGGTTGAGGTGACTATTAAAGCCTCAGATTTGAAGTGTGGTTTATTACATGTATACTTCAAGAAAGCCCATCAAACATACGACAAATTTCATCCGAGATCCAATATTACAAATGTAAAGGGAAAAAAATTAACGACGTTCTTAGACTAACAGATTCCCTAAAAACATTAAGAATACAAAATAAATTAGACGAAATAGCCACAGTTGATATATAGGCGAACGAAAAGGCTACATCAAAGTTGACAGTATAAATAGAGCGAGAACTCTTCTCAGATAGCGTATAACTGATCAAAAGATTTTACTCTATCGATATCTGGAAAGGTTGTAAAATTTTAAATCTGCGGATCACTAAATGGATTCCGAATAAACTTGAGAAGATAAACCAAAAACGTAGCCCCAATGATTCATAAATTTGCAGAGCGTAAGTGAAACATTAGCATACCACTGAATAGGCTTGTTGGTGCAGTTATATTGATATAATATGTGATGTTTAATCCTAAATATATTATAGTACATGGTCATCATTCACTCTTAATTTCCCATTACTTTTGTAAATTTCTTTTGTCAGACAATAAGAAGGTTTCGCTTAGTATATAATTATACTGTACATCTATGAATCCACACTAATATGTTTTATCGAATATGGGAGAAATCAGTTTTGATTTTATAACATTTATTTATATTATTCAACCGAAATTTATCTAGCGATTCTAATCACTTATGTACATATTTTCCTGTATGTATTGTATAACAACCATGGTAAAAGCATTCGGTCTTGCAATTTCAACGCCCACAGCTAAATTTAGTAGTTACACATACTATATGTGTACCACCCAGCGTACTGCTGCAATCCTGTATTTAGCATATGAGCAAGCACTTTCTAAAATATAACTAAGTCGTATCACAAGAGGTTAAAGCAAACTAAATACATTAAACCTACTACTTATATTTTTAAATTGAACCTGAAAAACATAAAATCTAAGATATCAGTAAGTACGTACGTAAGTACATTTCAATTACTTTACAAATATGTTTATGTGAAGTTAAAAATGAAACAAATGATAAAGAGAAACTTTCAAAGACAGCGAAATGAGATTTCATATTAGTCCGTTTTTTTAAATTATTCTTTGTATTGTATTATTTTGCTAACAACGTAAATGGTCAAGAGATGTATAGTGAAATAGATTATTGAATCGAAAATCAAAAGCTAGACAATAGACAACCTTTATTAAAATTATGTAAGCTAAAAACACGTTTCTCGCTTTTAAGAGCCAAATTTTTGTCAGCAGTGAGAGATCTTCAAGAAGTAAGGATAGTTTGATTGCTTATCTCTAAACGAAAGATACGCTCTTAAGCAACTGTAAATCCGAATTAATTAGTAAAATGAAGGTAAATGGATATCATTTAGTTACGTGAGGCTAGAATATTAAAGAATAATAACCGAGTGCGTATCATTATAAATAACGAAGTGTTTCAGATGCTATGATCATTATACATCGTTATATTTTGTTGTTTAGCTATTGTTATAGTTAGATTTACCTATCTAATATGCATTTATTTAAACTAGAAAATTGGTGAGGCTAATGAATCTTACCACAACCAGACTCAAAACTATGACACTTATTAAAACTTATTCGGAATGTTTTAAGAAATATCAGTTATCTGTATGAGGTTGTGGTGATTGTTGATTTTCACTGAAATCATGAACCGATAAATGTTAGATCACCATTGAAAACCTGGAAGCACTAGTCGGCTGTTTTGTCCTACTATGGTCCAGACGTAAAGCGTTCGCTCGTAAGGCTGAAGGTCCTGGTTTCGATTGCGGGGTCGTGGATGCTCACCGACCAGTGCTTCCAAGTTTTTAATGGTAGTTTGACATTGATCGGTTCAAGATTTCACTAAAATGTCAGTCGAATAAAGTGAAGTAATTAACGGTAATGCTGACTAAAATATTGCATTGTCTGAAGGTTTTCCTTTTTATAACCCATTAGATTTCTATCTGTACTGACAATGAAGTCCATAAGCATTTGTTTATAAATATCACTTTTAAATTGTGTTAGTATAAATTAAAAGTTCACCTTTAAGAAATATTGACTATTACTGAATAATTTGTACATAAATTCACGCATCCCATTCATCAACTCATTGTCTTCGTTTTATTATTAAGCCTGTAAAATCACTGATAAGGAAACAAAAAGTGGACGTAAAATTAGTAATTTTGATTTAAGAAGTTTAAATCAATTAATTAACTGTACTATACTGGAAGGTAACTTGATCCTGACAAAAGAATCATTCAACCCAAGGTTGGTTATTAGCTGTTTGTGTTGATTTATTGTTATTTTATTTAAAGGAAATAAAATTGTCATTGCACATGTAAACCATGGTAACGTATGTAGATCGGTGATCTGGATGATTATTGTGAACATTGATCCAATCTAATTGCCGCAGTAATTTTTCTGTCTGACAACCTCTAAACAGTACTGTGAATAGTTTAATAATGTATAATCTAGGTGGAATTTCCTATTTATTTTAAAACAAAATTACTAGGTATATCTTAGGATTGGATTATAATCGTGATAGTAGAAGAATACGATTCAATTGCAAACTGTATTCTCCCTCAGTGAACAAATGCATTACTTTTTTTAACTTTTACTATGCATTAAGTTCCCATTTTGAATTATTCAAAGTACAACACAGACTGTCGCATAGCAAAAACTTTAATAGTGTAGTGTTGGGACTGGACAACTAGCACTAATACGGCACATGCCTTCATGTACATTATACTATGGTTACTCTGTGTAATCTGTTGGTCTGTTATTGAAATGTAGAACTACCAGATATTCATGTCATGATGAATGCTGACGTAATTTTCTTACATTAAAAATACTTAATATTATTCACTAACTGCTGTTATTCACATTTTCTTAGGAAGTCAGGTTAATAATGAATAATGCTACGTGAATGCAATGGCTTTATTTATTATTAAAAATGTAACTGTTAAGCAGAAAAATGAAATTACACAATATAAAAAAGTGTCTATTTAATCAATAATCTTTCTACGTTTTACACTAAACGATGTTGAGCACTAAATTCGGTAGAACATTACATCAGCTGGAGAAATAGAACACTGGTTTGGTTATTTTAGTCTAAAGATGCTACATACTTGCCTCAGAAATGACCCAGAAGTAAATGAATTAATTCTGATTAGAGCATTTATGGAACAACCGAATTTTGCAAACAAACAGATCAAGATAAATTATATCTTAGTGACATGTGCTATAGAATACGAATAAAAATGACTTCAGGCTTTATTTTACGCCAGAAGATCGAAAAGCTACTATTTGCTAAGCTTTCCATTATCTCGTTGTTGATATCTAGGTCCGGATTTTAGTCAGTCTCTGTTGACAAACGTCCATCCTGATCGATTTTACGATTTCCAACGTATATGGATTGTATCTATCCTACTCGTGAGGCAAATTAGTGACAGTTTGAACTCTGTAGCTAAGTGAGTAATGCGTCAGGATTTTAAATCTCACTGTGATTACTCACACTAGAATGTATGTGAATCCAGCTACCGAGTTCCAAATGAAATATAACGGATAATTTGGATTCCCTGTACTAACCACTACCCGATTATACGAACGACACTTTGTTCAGAAACTTGAAAGTAATTTATTCTGAAACTGACCCTCGAGCAAATAGATAGAATGTGGTGAAATTCTTTGATTATCAATACCAACTAAACGGGCAACAATTCCAGCTACATAATTTTCATAGCACTTTTGAAGTTCAAACATCTGTTCCCTTCCACTGACTTTTCGTAGACGTAAAATATTTCATCTGGCAGTTTTAAAGTGTAAATTAAAACAGGAAAACAAAGTGTACATAGTCTGTACATATCACCATTGTCTAAACAGCAAAATACATCAACATCCTATTTTGTCCTTCAAGTCAAAAGACTGAAAACACAATGTATCCATACACAACGGTCACAAAACCTTCTGCTAATGCTCTAATAATGATAGTGATCACAATTTTATTTTATTTTTTTCCAAAAACCTTGTGCTTATATAATGCTATGGGTTTTAAAAAGCCACAATAAACTACCTTGCCCCAACTTATTGATTCACTCAAGGTACTGATCGTTATTTGTCCTGTTGTTTGTAAATTTTCATGTTCGTATAGTACTTAATTACAATGCTTGATTAGAGTAATCGGACTTTGTAAAATGCGACCTGAAGTTACTACTACAAATTTCTAATCTCCATTAAACAATAGAGACAAATTACGAAACTTCATAATGAATACCTCAAAACAAACGATAATTCAAGTACCTGGATACAATGCATCAGAAAAGGCTTAAAACAGTCATGAAAAGTTTCTTATTTCTGTAAAGTATAAGTACAAATGATCTTGTACTTTGATCATTTTGATCTCTTTTCCTAAACTGTTAAACAGAAGTATGTGATATTTTCTAAATCTACGAAACTTTTCATACTTAATACAGTTCTGCATTCCAATGAATCGAAATATGTACACTTGCCTTGTTTGAATGAATAATACTATAATTATAAGTTGTAAACAGCTGAGGTGAATCCATGAAATGAATGAACCCATGTTATTCTGCTACGAAATTTGTTCTTTCTTTATCCAAGTTTGTAAATGAGAAAAACCGTATGAAGAAGTGTCGAGTTTGAACTTACAATAAACGATTTATAATATTTAAGAACAACAAAGTTTTCGAAACAGATATATTGCGTTATGCATTGCGATAAGTAAATTGCCTTGATAATCACAAATTTTGTCGTTCAAAGCTTATAAGTAGTATCAAATAGTACAGATCACTCATGAGTTTAGTTAATATACCTTGTGAACATGTTGGTAAGTGTTGAAAAATCTGAAACATCAAATGGATGTTATTATATTATTCCTCAATATTTCTTGTTTTATTTTCTTAGTTCTGATCTAACCGATCATATCCCAATCACAGATCACCGTCAATTGTGGGCTTTACATTCATTAAGAGAAGTAACTGGTTACATATATTTAGATTTGGAATTACTTGGCGATAGTCTGAGAAATTTTAGCTTTCTTGAAAATCTTGTAAAAGTCAGTGGTTATCGTAAGTTAATTTACGTATTTCATTCATATATAGTCCTTTTAAACAGATATTTTATATGGTGGAGAAGATTTGTAACTCAGGTGGATGATTCTTGTGGAGTCTTTTTTCTGAGGTGGATGGTTTGGTCGTGGAGCTTTCATCTATCTAATATCTAGTTTCTTTTAAAAATCATCATAAATAGTGTCGAAAACTCTATTTCCCTAATCAGTAGGTCATGCACGAAATATGGTGTGTCACAGATTTGTATCACTCTGTAACGTATTAGCTTGGTTACATAATTCATAGCACTAATGTTTCAATGATTCTGACAATCAATATTTAACATGTCTGTATCTAAAAGTATAACCCGCTATCAAATGAGCAAATAGAAAGATTCGTTCGTACCTGAAGATGGATTTTCTGATGCATCGAAATCCACAAACAGAACTGAGTGTTGTAGACCAGTCACTTAATTAAAACTTTATATTTTATGTACTAATTTATGATTGCTGTTGCTTTTATTATAACTATCAGTCATAAATAGCATTCAGAAATATGAATCGCAGAATTAAACAAAGTGCTTCGTTTACTATTTATCAAGACAGAACAAGTACTCGTATCTTACTTTTCATAAATTGGGTGTCTGACTTAAAAAGCACATCTTCCAAACAATAATATTTGCAAAGATGACTGAATTTCATTGTTCTTCAGTGTTTTCTTGAATTATCTCAAAAAGACAATAAGGTAAATTAGTCTTTCTGAGTTATACTACTCTTTACTACAAAAGTAGTGTTTACCCTTAAGGAGTTTATACTATCTGGTGAGTGAAAAAAGAAAATTGTTTAAACTGAAGTTTCGCTACTTAGTGATGATAAGTTTATCAACGTAATGATAGTGTTAGCTGTTTCTTTACGCTCACCGGAGAACATAAATTTCTATCAGTCATAGGTATTATTTACCCACTACCCAAATTTTCATGCTATTCAATCTGAACTTGGTTTGGACACATATACATTCGTATGTTTTCTAAAAAAGTTTGGCAAAATGCTTGTTGCGGGTATAGTAACAGTATAGTAAAGGTAAAAACTCCCAACACACACTTAAAAAACCCCTTTAAGATTTCGTCTAACAATCTAATAAGGAAAGCATACAGATGCACGAATTTGTCTACTTCTCTGTTCTATTTATATTCCAGTACCTTCTGCACGAGTGAGTATGATGATTATAAATAGTAAGGCGTATTTTCCTGGATTAAGAAGCCTTCGACAGGTTCCACATGGAAGAGTTATATTTCATCAGAACCCCAACTTGTGTTATTTATCCTCACTGCCTTGGACGAATTCAGGTAAATATGGACTATGTGTTTTTTATGGTTTCATGACATTAATTAGCTTTAAGTAATGGTTAGGAATCAGTTTGATTACATATAGGTATGACATATTATGTCCTTAAATCAAAAAACCCATCAACCAGAGGTTATTATGGTAAAGATCAGTGATAACTGATAACTTCCCTTCAGATATTAGTCATTCACTTTCATCATTATCCATAGCAAATAATTGATTAAATTGATTGTAATGTTAATTTCTGGAACCCATCTACCTCAAAGAAAGGTTGATTATCACAGCTTTCTGAATTTGCAAAACTCTTTCTGGCTAAACATATAAACTTGCTCTAGAATTCTTTGTTTCTTGAAAACGATCCAGTTTTCATTTCATTTATTTGGATCAATCAAACTGAAAGAAAACATGTTAGTAACTTAATAATTGTCGATACAACAAAATTCTTTGGTCCAAATAAATATTACATATCGAAACCAAATTGGAATCATATTATTATTTGCATATTACTTATCTCGTAGAAAAAAAAGGTACTGTTTAATCAAAATCTATACCTTGTTTGTCTTTTGTCATCTATTCATTTACAAACTGTATCTCAAAGATTTGATTACCAAGAGCAATCGCGGCTAGGTTTTCTCTTATCGATTCATACTGGTCAACAAGCAGTTTCGGATTATTATGTTTCTCGTTACTTACGTTATGACAAAAGTAAATGTAGGATAGTGTATCATATACATAAGCGCGGTTATATGAAGTCTTTACTATTTGACTATCCTGAAATCATTTTCATCTTTTCACAAAACTACATTCATAAATAGGTTTTATAAAGTTTGCCCATATTTTTGAGCGATATTCACGAAGGAGTAAACTATTTTACATCACAAAGTGTTGAATAAAAGTAACTCTTTATAGGGCTCAGAATATTTAAAAATTAAAAGAACATTCTTATTACGATGCTCAACTGTCAGATGCTCACCTTTCTCTATTCCTATTGTAAATAACACTTAAAAACTGAATTTTCCTAGAGTAAAACGCCAAATAAATAAAAATATTAGTGATTAACTGGATAATAGGTGAGCTGCGAATTGGGAATGTTAAAATAGCTAGCGATTTCTATGCATGACTTACGCATATCATTGTCTTATAACTTCATCTCCCTTATATTTCAACGAGATAAATAACAATTTTGTTGGCGATGATAAAGTTCCTATGAAAATATCCATGGGTATGAGAAAGATTTAGCAAATGATATATTCGCAACTAGATTAATGAATTAATTAGTCGTGAATCACTAATAAACCTTTTCAAACAAATTACTGGACTGTGATAACTTTCATTACTTCTGCTGTAAAGTATTTTTGATATATACAACCTTTGGACAGTGGCTGAAAATGGGTTCAGAATGTCGAAATCATTTTGACTTTTTTATATGCCTCTCTTCATATTATAGTGTCACGGTTATATTTAACAAAAAAGACTTAGAATTCCATGACAACAAAACCAGTCAAACAAATTATCAAAAACCTCTATTCATAAAGTACATCTAATTATTTCATGAAATACCTGAACTTGAAATCTCATGTATTCTAGTTTTCCTGAACTCATCGTTCATATTTCTACTTTTTTCTTGTTTTAGCTCACACAAGTGTCTTTAGCTCACTGAACCAAACAAATTCGATGCAAATTACTGTTATTGATGGTCCAAGTGATAAATATTGTGGTAAGATCATTTTGAAAAGAATAAATTATACCTCACATTCACTGTCCTTGTGATTATCACTATTTGATTTTTAAAATTTTATGTTCACATTTGTTAAGTTTCTTATTACTGATTTGTTGAATTATAACGTTTAAACTAGTTGTATGCTTCATGCTACGTGAATTTAGAAAAAAACCTACAGAATACTGTCAAATGCCAACTTCCTTCGCATATGAAATATTTGCTCTTCTGAGTTGAAGATTGTATTTGTGTAACAACCAAATAATCTTTTTTCGTTCAGGATTTCAAATCATGCAGTGTTTTGTGTTAAACAGCATTCATCAGAATGAGGATCCAAGACATAGCATTCGATCAGCACTAAGGACCTGACCCGCATGAGATTGATCACCACCCAGTGATCAATCAATTGTGATTAGATCTCAGTCCTACAGGAGGTCGGTCGCGGCCCGAATAGCTCAGTGGTAACGTCTCTGACTGTGAAGCTGAGTGACGCGGGATCGAATCCGCCAGGGAGCATCAGTTCCCTCAAGATTACAGGTACACCTTGCTGACGAGTGCCAAGTAGCACGAAACCCGGGTCCAGGGTTTCCTGTTGACCACCTCCAACCACCATGTTACCCTAGGTGACTAAACTTGTTTACACCATTCGTAAGATCCCCACTCGATCGAGACATTTAGTTGTAATCACTTATACATTGTGTCATGGGCCATAACGTATTGGGTGGCATTCTATTATCCTGCAAATTAAATGTTTCATTAAGTTCAAGGAACAGGATTTAAACATTACCGATAAAAGCTTTTTTCATTCCCTATATATATATATATATATATATATATTCAAGAGTTGGAGTCCTTTGCGGACTTCTACCACGTTAGGTGGATCTGTAGTCACCGGCCATGGAGGGCAGGATAGTCTGATCGATGTCGCCGCGACGGAATACTAGTTTGACTGCTCATAGAAAAACTCTACCCATAGTCCAAGACTTCGGTAGATGTTAGTTATTAGCATCCCATCGGCTTCACAGATTGTTTCATCCACACTAGACTTCTTGCTGCCAGTGAAAAACAATTGGATCGAGTTTTAAACATCAACGTGATGATAAGCATCTTAACTACTGACTAACATTTATGCCAAAATGATCTGTCGTTACTTGATTAGAGGTTTTTATATATTTGGCTTAATATATAGGTAGACTTTGATTTCAAATTGCAGACAGAAATTGATGAATTTCTTTTAATTTAAACAGAGCTTGCTATTCCTATAGTACTTCTACTTTTTATTATAAACCAGGGATGTGATTTTACTATTACACGTTAAATAAGACATTGAAGGTTGCCTTACATTTGTTTGTATTATAGAATCTTTTAACTACGTGTGCCATCCTGCATGTAAGAAGGAGTATGGATGCTGGGGACCAGGACCAGATCAGTGTGTTCGCTGTTCATACCGTAGAGCGGGATTACATACATGCGTTCAATCATGTAGTAACTTAACAGGATATATGTCTGAACAATGGGAAAAACAACTCCAAATATCTAAAAAGAATGACTATTTTGGCGATTCTCTGACTAAAAATTTTCACCTAAATTACCATACAGCAGAAACTGAAGATGTTTGTATTCCGTGTCATCCAGAGTGCGGCAAATCCTGTACAGGACCTGGTGCTCATGAGTGTATTGGATCATGTAAAACAGCTTGGGTAAGTTTAACATAACAGTTACCCATACCAAAAATTTCTCCATCTTCCTTTGGTTATCACAGTGTAATTATATTAAGATTACAATACAGAATACTATTTTTGTTGTTTCCTGACTGCTTGACCTTAGGGAAGGGGACTTTTTCCTATTAACTGAAGTGTGGACTGGAGAAAGTTTTGAATAACCATACAGGAGCCTATCAGCTTATTTACTTAATTGAAATAAGTGGAGCTAATAAATGATATAAATGGGATTACTTCATATACTTCGCTTAGTTTTATTTTAAAACACTGAATTTATTTAACATGGCATATGAGGGTCATTCCCTTTGCGCTTTCATCATCATTAAAATTGTGATTGATTTGGAACGAACCTAATTCAGAATTCGTTTTAAACACTAACAGTATTATTCATTTTTTTACAAGTTCTATTTTCCATTAAAAATATCTTCAGTCAGACGGTCAGTGTGTTTCAGAATGTCATACAAACACTTATCTAAATATGGACAGAAGAATTTGTGAGCCATGCCAGACACATTGTCATCAACGTCAGTTAACAAAACAGCCGGTATGCACTGGTCCGGGTCGTCATCCGGGAAGAGGAGGGTGTAATAAATGCGAGAAATTTATTGTACAATCGCCTTTCAATCAGATGAATACGGGAATATCAGGTTAGTTTAATTTATACTAGTTAGTTTTGTTACCTAATATTACTTAACAATATACATCTGAATGATTGATTTTTTTCCGTTAAATGAACATTTGTTCCAGTTGTTTTTGAAAACGTTTCGGCTTATGTCATAAGCCAATACTAGTTGATAACTATTTAAAAGAATAACATATGATACTAAATTTAAGACCATAGCTACAATATCAGTTTTATTTCTCCTAATGTACTGATCTGGCTTAAGACTGTTTCAAGCATTGTCTGAAGCAGCATCTGAAGGTAAAATTTATCATACCACAGATTATGTTTTTCTATTCACAGCAATGACAATTTAATATGCAAACTGCTACGCCACTTGAAAAGATTAGTACTTTGATTATTTCAGTAAAGCATTTTCCAGTTGCTAAAAATTCAGAAACATGGTAGTCACATGCTATAAACTTTTATTCAGAATGATGGCAGGCTATACAAATTATAAATTGTTTACTCCACTGAAAGGTTTATTATTTTTTTAAAGAATTTAAAATAAGTACATTTGGTAGTTATTTTAAAAATTCGCATTTTTCCCATATCTTATTTCTCTTACATAGATTTATCATCCTCCCTTACAACAATTAGCTTGCTATGTGTCAGAGGAGATTGTCCACCAGGAACTTATTTGACAACTGAAGTGGTTCAACCGAACACTTTGTTCGCGAAGTACGCTGAAATATTCACAAGTGTTGCTGCCGTATGTCGATCATGTCATCCAAGATGCCCAGTGTGTACAGCATACAGCCTCCTAAGAGCTAATGAACAACGTTTGGGTTGCATGAAATGTAGTGGGTTTTGGCTGAGAGATGCTTGCGTAGAACACTGTCCTGTAGGTAAGTAGTGCAAATATCTCCCTTATATTTTATAATACTATAGTGGTTGAGATAGTGGAGGAAATTTGTAGTCCAGGTGAATGATTTTGATGGAGTCTTGTTTTCTGAACTTGATAGTTTAGTATTGGTGTTTCCATTGTTCTTATGAACAACATCATCACCATGAACTTCAAGCAGAAGTAGACTTCACTTTATTTTAATGATGTTGGAGTGGAGTTGTTCAGAAAAATAGGGAAAGCTCCACGGATAGACCATACAGCTCAGAGGACGGGACTGCACCAAAAATGACAACAGATGAACCAATATTCCAAAAAATCCTCAAGGATTACGTTCTTATTCTTAGTAAAAATCCTTCTAAACGATGAAAGCATCTTTAATTTTACAGTAAAAATTATATATTTTTAAAATCTTGAATAGATTATGCGTGACTCCAAAAGGAGATAGTCCAAGTAGGTTGGATACTAACGCCATTTTTCCGTTCCAGTGGCTCACTTGGTTTGTAGACTTTTATAAGCAGCGGGATTATTAGAATGTTTCATGTAACCTTTTTATTTTACGTAATAAATTTGTATTAAATTTTCTAATTTTCGCTTGAGGGGTTTTTACAAACATGATTGCCTTTTTAATGTCATCTATAAACTCTGAGCTAGACTGTTGTTAAGTTGTTTGTTTAAACGTGGACAAAAGTTCTGATAAAATACACAATACTGTAGTTTATATTTGATTCAAAGAACTAGTTTATAAACCTTGGAGTAATCGCATCTTAACTTTGAAGTTATTAATAATTTTGTTCTCTTATTCATAAAGAACAAACCTACGCTATATGGATTAAGACTAATCGTAATGTATCCGGAAATTCTTCAGAAAATCACTTAAATTTAAAAGACGTTAATTCGAAATACAATGGTATTTATATACGACATTTAAATGGACAGTGTTTAGCCTGTCATGAGCAATGTCATGCTGGATGCTGGGGTCCTGGACCAGATCAATGCAACCATTGTCTTAACGTCAAAGTACCTATCCGGTTTATATCTGATAATCTCGCTAACTTATACGGACTGGACCAGTTTTCAGAAGATGACCAATCAGTAAGTCTAACTGTATAAATAAAATTTTTTATCTTAATATTGTCTAAAATGTTTAAGTTGAATGAACTTTTTGTGTGTAACTCTCCGTGACTGAGTTTTAGTGTGATAAGTTTTCTTATTTGTAAATATTTGAACCAGTAATCGACGCTCATTTAATTTATTACATCTAGAAAATATGCCGTTGTTACTGACCAAATATAAGAGCAATAAATAAGAACAGTTGATTTTAAAAGGCTTTCAAATACGATATAAGGCTACAGTATGATAATGAATTTCAGTATCATGATATTTCCATATTTAACTGTTATCACTTCATATGTTTTTAGCTGATCAGTGATTTATTGTTTAAGCGTTTAACAATTTGTATAATCATTTTAAAATAGTTGGGATTAAACCAATATCAACTCTCAGTGGAAAACTGCATTAGCTGACAAACAATAACGACTACTTTCCCGACTTGCTCTCTGAAAATTACTTCATATAACTTAAAAAATCAGTCTGGCTTTATCGAACTAGGTTTATGTGACAGATTTTGAATAATATCTTTATTTTTTTTAAAGATCTAAACTCCACTAACTTTGTGAGACCCATCGAATAACACTCTTCTTACATTAAATTCATTTATGAGATGAGAATGAATTAAAAAAACATTGATTTTAAGTTTTCTAGGTAAAAAGAAGATTTAAGTGAGGTCCTGAGTTTAAACTTTATTCACAAGACCATAAATTCATCATTTAGATTTCACTTAATGTTCGCATTTTGTAACGAAGTTTCTTTTATCCTATCGGCTGAACTAACTACCGATATGAAGCGAAATTCGAAAATAATATTGCAATGTCTAGTTTGTTCTTTAGTGCCTAAGTGTTAAAAATCATTCTCACAATCACGTTTTGTAGGTATTATCTTCAATTACAAACAAAGAGGAAAATGGCTAGCATCAAAATCAAGGACTCTTTAGCTGGACGTACCTGAATCCTGAAGTTGTCATTCACTTCGAGACTTGAACCTAGTACCGTTCGCATCAAACGCCACCACGTTATCCACTTAGCTACTGAGTCCTGATAGCCACAAGCTTATACAATGGGGTGAAATTTTAATTCATTATTGTATTGGTTGTTTAGATCTTCCCATCGATGTTTAGGACTGTAATTGATCAGTCTATCGTTGACATATGTGCATCTTGTGCGGATTGCCTCGATATTGCCTTAAGTCACAAGCATTATAAGCAAAGATGGATGGTGGATATCGGTGGAACCCAGGACATGCGTTTCATCCTGTCTGTAACTCGTCAGCTGAATGTACCAATATCGAGTAATCCACTTAGGTTGCACATATGCCATTAAGAGACTGATCAGTTGCAGTCCTAAATATCAATGGGAAGATCAAAGCACACAATACAAAAATGAACTATTATCTTCAGTTATTGAATTGACTTGTAATTTTATTTCATGCTGATGACTTTTTAGATCTATATTATTTCTCAGTAGATCTCTACTCACCTTCAGGTTGAATGTAGCAAGTTCAATTAAGACCCGAAGACTCTGGTATAAATATCCCCTACTGTAATTATAATGATTCAATAGGAGTACTGTAAATACTTTTTAAAATCATATTCAATACAACTGCAGTAGATATAATATTCAGAGCATGTAGTAAATCATTTTGTGATGATTGACTTTAAACTTCCCATGAATACTCTACTAAATACCTTCAGTTTGTAAATTTCAAAAGATCTTGCCATAGCACCTGGAAAAAACTATATCATCTGGTAGACTTAAAAAGATGTAATACTCTGTGACGAGTAAAATGAATTGTATAGTACCATACGATCAGGTTGCAAAACAGGACCGTAAGTAAACTTAGAGGAGAGTGGCGTCCAAATTATCAAAATGATAATGTTTCTGTTTTATAAATATGATTCCAGATACGTTTGACCGAAATCTTTCTTATTTAGTGAGTTCAAATTATATACAATTGCAAGAGCAATTACTTTGATAATCATGATATTAGGATAAGGTTTGCGTTTCGCGAACTTTCATTCTCTGAGCTGGAAGTTTGATTGGTAAGCTGTCATCGTCCATCTGGACAACATTATCGACGCAAACTTCAGTTTGAAGTAAGCTATTCGGATAATGTTGTCCATAAGTACGGGAGCTTCATTATTAAACCATCCAGTTCAGAGAATAAAACTCTGACAGAATCATCCACCTGAATTACTCGGTACTTTACTGACTAATTAGTCGACAAGCAAAATATTATTATTATGTTTATTGTATCTTTTGCCTAGTTAAAGGTCATTATCAGAAAAATGGTTGGTTTTTATTTCCCTGGTTCAACTAGGCTGAATCGTAGTAAGATGGACTAAGTGGACGTACGTCATATAGCTTAATATATGCATTCCACTACTGATTATTTGATACTCTTTGTTACATATTACGGTTGGTCAAAACAGTTGATTAAGATTTGTTATTAGCGAAGTGAAAATGTATCAACGGTTATTTAGTTAGTATGTTGCTAGTAATTACTGTTTTTTATAATAATTGCTGCATCCCATATTCGATCATTGATATTCAGGGTAACATCTCATTTTAATCACAAGTGTCCAAGTTGTTGAGTGATTTTAACCTTCAGTTACAAACCTCATCGATGGTCAACCAACCAAGACTACTAGGACTAGCAGGTACGTTCAGCGTTGCCACGATTCCCACAATAAACTTGTTTGTAACTCCGTAGGTAGTACGGTATTCTACAGTACAGTATCCTACATTTTTGTGCATAAATTTTTATTAACTAAAAACCGCAAAATCTGTTCTATGTCCAACTAATAATAATATGTTATAAAATGAATGCATTCATTTTTTAAGTGTCGAGGCTTTAGAATCGTGGATGATTTGTCACAACACTGACACCAAAATAACGAGAAAAGTAAGACAATAATAATGAGAAACACGTTTCTAATGATAAAATGAACCCATTCGCTTGCACACTAGAATCCAAGTTAACCTGTGTGTACAGTTAACTATTTGTAGCCCAGTCCTTATGTAATTCAGTCAGTGCAGATTCATAATTTTATCAAGTTTCGCCTGTTTTCGACTGATTTAAAGAGTTCGACATGTTCAGTAGTTGAAATATTTGTCTATTATACCACTAGATAGTATTTGACGCATATATTATCAAGGAACTTTGTGTACTCCAACCACAAAATCACTAATTTATTGGGGTGATTATTTGCTCAAAGCTATTATAAGTACTCAGCTTGGTTGACTGATATGAAATGATAGGAAAAAGGAGAATGTATCCTTTATTTTATATTTCCATCTTAAATTTTAGCCGAGAATTGATTTGTTAATCGTTTCTGTTTTCTATGACTACTGCTTCTCAATGCTTATGGAAGAAGTTCAAATAAATGAAACGTTAATAAATAATTCCTTCTATTACATGTAAAGTAATGGATGAAAAATTTAGCGAATGAGTGGAAGTTTCGTTGAAATCTCATCAGATTCTGCAGAATATCAGATATTGAATATATTTCCACTGAAGTAACCATCAATAAATAAAGTATGACAACTTGGACCAATGCACATCTTTTCGGGGTCCTATGTTGATGATGCCTGTCAGTCTATTGATAGATAAGATTTTACTTTTTATCTAAACGTATACTTTCTTTCTAGATTGGGGTGAACAGTCTAAATTTACATTTATACCATGGGAAATTTATTTGCTTACCTCAGTGTCCAAATGATTTATACAACCATATCATCAATATACCAGAAATGGAAGGTGAAACAATATGTCATCATAGTACATATTTAAGTGCTAGTGATTATGAACTGATAATGCAAGACAATGTGTATCCATTTCAATACTTTAATAATTATCCACTTTCAAATAACCATCAACAATTGGAGCAAGGAACGTCTGCAGGAATCATCGGACTAAGAAAGTCTTCATCTTACTTTTCATCGGTTAACGGTAGTATTATGCATCGTAAACTAAAAAATGATCCAGTAATATTAATTATGATACCACTATGCATTGTATTAATCGTATTTGCTGTACTAGTTTTTATATGCTATCGTTATCGTTCAAATCAACAATTCATCAAAAAATATGAACACAGTCCACAGTTATTGTTCAAATCATTGTTTTGTCCACTATCATTTATTTCTAAGCGTTTTGTTTCCGATATAAGCAATTATAAATATAAGAAAGGTAATCCTGTTATAAATTTATCTCCTACGAATTATCATTACAAGAATAGAAATGATGAAAGTGGTACTGAAATTAATTTAATACAATATCCAGGCACAGAGGATAGTTTATTAAGAAGATCTAGTGTAACGGGTTCCCATCGATATCCAAATCAGGTACGTTGTTTACCGATTTTATTCATTGAATCATTTTATTCCAATATAAAAGCATTTCTTTGTGTTAGGAAATATGAACCAATAGATTGTAAACTAGTTAGTGAATGGGATCATGCTCACTGCGAAATATGACAGGCATGGCTCTTTTTTCGATAGGCAATCACTCAGCTGCAAAGTTAATCCATTAGTGTATGAAACAGCAGTTGAGTGATCACTAGTTGGTTCTGATGTAATAAAAACTATTCACATTAATGATCACCCTTATGTTGGTGTATATCTACCCAGGACGGATATACTATACAATTAAGATGTTTTTGCAGGACAATATTGAGAAAGCTACACAACTTAGCAAAAAAAGGTGGCCTGTGACATCAAGTGAAAACAAATGACCACAATCAGTTACTTGCAGTAGCATTTCAATGATTTATGAACCTGACGTTCAAACCATTGTAACATGCTTCATTTCAGACGGTTGTACTGTAACTCTATCTTTCGAACAATAGCTGTGATTTAAAGTCAAGCTCAAAACATCCACCAAGTTATTAAATGACAGTCCAACGTTTCAGAATAACTCATTACGGTTATGTAGGTGGTACGCGCAGACTGACGAAAGTAAAATAGTAGTTTGGAACGTTGATCACTCCTAAGTTTCGTTACCAAAGCTCAACTTCATAACCGAAAAAGACCGAATAATGGGCGGGTTGTTTATAATAGAAAAACAATAATGTTTTTAATATCCTAACAAGTAGAAAATTGAATTTCTGGTGTTTCATGATTCAGTGTTGGTTGGTTCTTCAGTGAATAAATTATCGAGCTAAAGTAACTTAAATTTATTAATTGACCTTATTGTACATGCTTTTTATTGTGAACTGTATTATTGGTATAAAAGATAGCAACAACCAGTTCTTACTGGTCTAAGAAATTAAAACAATCCCACTCTACTAAACTGAGAACACTTTATTATTTCATAATTGGTCATTTCTTCCATACGAATTAGATTGTGAACGGACAGAAAGCCCCAAATCTAGGTAGATTGGTCATGATCAACCTCGATGACTTATGCTTAAATGAAAAATCGGGTCCCTTGGGGACAGGTGCATTTGGAGCAGTCTATCAAGGTATTTGGAAAGTATGCCAAACTGATTATCCAAACTTACCAAATATAAATTATGTGATTACAGCAAATAATGAAGAGGAGTTAATGCTTAAAGTTAATTCACAAAGTTCCTGTTCATTGTTGACAACTTCTACTCCAATGAATGAAATGAACGTGGTGTCTACAAATCAAATAAATTCTAGTAATATTCGAGAGAATGAAGTGAACAAGTCAGCTACAGAGCAGTCATCAATCATAAACCAGAAGAACAATAATACTGACGAAGATATCAGTCAAACTAGTAATAGCGTTACTATAACATCTAAAGCATCCACAGAGAAATCTAAAAAGGAGTACAAACTACTATGTGTTGCTGTTAAAATTTTGAATGAAGTTCGTGGGTCGAGCGATCTTCAAGCACTACTGGACGAAGCAAAAGTAGGTCTGAGGTGTTTAGATCCTGGAAACTCGCAGATCTCTTTTTTATCAGTTTAACATAACTTTTATTGACAGGATGATAAGTTCAAAAGCTCTTCTGTGTACTGACGTTTTCTGTCGTAACATGAAGAGAATGTTCCTATGTGGGTACAAATAAATGCGCAACATAGTAGGAGCATACTTAAGTCAATGAAATGTTGATGCTTGGTTAGTTTTGCTCCATTTTGTTGGTGTAAAAGCCTTATTTAATTTAAGTCTTCACTTTGCCAATACATTAAGTCAAATACATCTGTTTTGAACTTTATCGTCATTCAGGTTATAGCTATCTTTCTAACACATTCTTTGACAATAATCAATGAATAGCCATCCTTTTTCACAAACGCTTACTTTAAATTGTATTGACGATGAATCATTGTAGATCCGAATATGTTTCCTTTACTATTTATTTTCTGGATTTCAGTTGAACTATTATTAATGTTCTTTGGATTTCAATTATCTAAAAGAATTAGCTGTTGCATGTATGTCACATGTTAAAAAACATAACAAGTGAGATTATCAGCAAATTATTTCTATGTAGGAGATACATGTAAGATACGCTAGTCATACATGATAAGGAGTTTTATATGACTGACTTATAAAATAGATTCGATAACATACAGAACGATATCGTACTCACTTATGAGGAGGAGGTAGAATTTTGACCCGAAAAGAGCATAGGACTATAAAACAACCAGTTTATAGAAATCCGACTTGGACTTGGCCAAATTTAGACTTCCACAGCTTCTGTGAGCTACATCGCGAGCGAGGATAGGTAAAGTGCGTCCCCAGCTAAACTCGACAAGTATGCATTACAAACGCGCCCAAAGAAGATGCGAATCTGCAGTTCCAAACACTGATATCAGGCGTTATCCGCTGAAAGTTTTGAATCGGTGTAAAAGTCAGTTAACATTAAAACCCTTTCTTAATAGTTTTGTGAAGAAAAATAGTTTACATTTCTTTATCACTTAGCGGGAAATCAAACAAGATAACTTTGCGACAGACTGAAAGCGCCCTTTGAGGATAAATACTATATTGCTGAATTGTCTGTTATTGAAAAAAACTAGTCTCATGACTCCACATAGATCTAGACACTGCTAAAACGATTATGTCACATTTGACTGCATTAACCAACCCACATGTTTGTGTGAGCACACATAAACAGGGAAGAGGAGTCGAACAATACGAAGAAGGCATTATGTGTGAAAATTATATTTGAAATAATCTCAGCGATTGAAATTTGAATAATTCCAACGTTTCTTTCAGCTAACTTGTCTGAACGAAACGTTGGAATTATTTAAATTTCAATCGCTGAGATTATTTCGGATATAGTTTTCACATATAACGACTTCTCTATACTCGGCGCCCAATTTTTGTCAAGCTGTTCGTTTTAATCTTCACGAATATTTGTATAAAATGCGAGGAAGTATTATGGATTGTGTGCCTAGGTGGTCTCCGAATCAGTTGGTGTCAAATGCTCTGATTAATATTTGATGTAGAAAACCATGTCCATGGACATCAAAACACATAATTAAAATGATCCATAGAATTGAGATCAACACAGCTTTCAAAACGTAGTATAGAAATTATTAGGGATCAATTCCTATGGAAGCTTTGGATATTCGAAAATTCAAACCCCCTTTATTTGTATAGAAACAACTATAAGTCTGCCACGGTGATCCTAAACCTTTTTTTCTGGTCTAGGGTGGTGTGACGAATTCCTATTCTTTCAATATTAAATTAATTACTCTCTCCTTTATTTACAATTATTACTTTATGTCAATTCGACTTTTGTTTGATTGACCATCATTAGTTTTTATAACTGTCTTGACAAGTATGTATATGGTCAGACTGCTCAGAATGTGTAGCGCAAACACACCACATTTTCAAATTAACTCCATCGGAAAACATTAAAACAACTGTGACCTAAACTAGTTATTCACGCCCGCCCTTGCATTATCAAACAATGTTTCATACCTTCCTCCTTCACACTCCTGTAAACTGTCTCCTAATAAAAATATCAGTAATCTTAAACATGGCATAATCGGTTATTATTATTGTTTTAAGGTGGACATGAATGCCGATAATTTGTTCAGTGATTACCTTTTGGATAAAAATGCGCTCTAGTAATTACACTATCACCAGTTTAGATTCATATGTGAATGTGGTTACAGCCAGAGATTATTTGTTACTTAGCATGCTTTATATTTGAGCTAAAAACGTGTGCACCTAGACTATACTGACCACCTGTTTCGATAACACTTAAACCAGTGACCATTTTATCTTAAGATTTTCTTTCGTAATCTCAAAATTTATCCTTAAGGTTAGAGAAAAAATGCAGTCGTTTTAATGTTAGCCTACTCCATCTCAAAGCCTTTTGAAAATATGTGATAATAACTTCATGTGTTCTATATTTGATAAATTATACAGTATTATTACATAGAGCGGTGACTTTTTCATCGATGCACTAAGTTCACAACAAGTGGTCCTCGAGTTTGAGCTCTACCCCAAACAATTTACTTTGGGCAGTCGAGTAGTACTGATAGTCTTCATACATAATAAGTGTCTACTAAACGAGTACATAAACTTATTATTGGCAGATGAGTAACTTAAAATAAATAAATTACGTACAATCGAAAATAACTAGATGGATTATTTAATATATACAACGTCAGTTAAGTGCTATTTATATGAATAAAGTTGAGTAATTAAATGAACTTTGATATGGTATCGCAGAGCGCCGTGAGTCACCAAACTATTTAGTAGTGCCAAATTTTAACATTTTTATGCAACGTCAGGAATTCCATAAAACACAGATCATTAATTATTTATGTTGAACACCACCACGCGAAGGTAACCATCACATGAAAAAATTATTTGCTTGTACATTGATATAACGTTTAACTATTTCTACTACAGTTTTCACTAATTATTTGGCTACTTAATCTTAAGTTACATACACTTTATACACACCAAACATTTCTATGTAAAATCATATGATTTCAACAACTAAGCATAATTATCAACCATAGCTTCAACATATATGGAAAGCTGTTTCAGACTACACACTCTATGACTAATTTTTCTCTAAATAATAAAATATAAACAATTAATAAATATTTACTTATATATTTTAGGTTATGGCGTCTGTCTCTCACTATCACTGCCTCCCACTTCTTGGAATATGTTTATCTCAATCAAGAAAATGCTTAGTTTCAGCTTACGTAGTAAATGGAAGTCTAGATCGTTATCTAAGACTGCGTGCACCAAATATTGACTCTTTAATTCTTTTAGACTGGGCATCTCAGATTGCTGATGGAATGGCATACTTACAATCCCGGGGAATTATCCACCGGTGAGTAATTTTTGTTAATTATAACACACCACTTGTCAGGTATTTTCATTTTGGGACTGTTTATCGTAAAATGATCATTTGAGGTTCCTTGTTAGTTTGTGAACACAAACTTCAACGTTACATAAAATATATGTTGTGTACTTATTTGATTATGCTCACTGGGTGACATGGTGCGTTTCGTTTGAGTTCGAAGTTCTCAACAAACTTCCAAAGATAGCCAGTGCTATCTACTTCATTTATTAGATACAACTAAGCATTCAATTCTGTTTAAATGATTAACATTAACAAGAAATAGAACAATAACTCATAAACTAAAATTCGGATGAATAAATGTTCAAAATCACTCATCATATTCTTTCGTATACTTAGATACAGAAGCTTTATAGTAACTAAAATTTCCATCCATAGGAGATCTGATTGAAATAAACAAATGATGAATGTTCATAGTTTTGTCCCCATGAACAAAAGTAGTCTGGTATTTTCTCTCACCTTACCACAATAATATCCTCAGAAGGTAGCATAGAACAGGTACTTGGGTCTCTTAAAGCTAATTTAATTGATCATGTTTATCGTTCAGTGTTATAGTAAATATAAAGTAAAGCACGAATCCTTCAACAGTCATGAAAAATATACATATTGCTCTGAAATTCAGAGGTGGAGTCATAAATAAAACCCTAAAAATCGCTTGACCAAATCATCGCAGAAAGTGTTCCAAGGATAAATGATAAGTTACCTCCCTTGACCGTTTCAGTGTATACTTAAATGTTTATCTACTCCTGTGGAGCCAAGTACATAAGCCAAATATCGATGAACATCTCTCTGAGAATAAGAAAACATCTCTCCACTAGGCTCATTAAAACACTTAGCTACAGTATAAAATCGCCCATTTTACAACATTTAATTTCCTCATGTTCATGCAGTATCGGGCTCGTCTTTTGAGATGACTTAAAAAGTCAAATAATTTGTAAATTTGCCTTTTTTCATCTGCCTTTAGTATCCTTTATTTAACATTCTCCTCTATCCCTTTAACATTCGCTCGTTTTATTTATCCCATCATATAAACACCTCTAATTAACTCATATTCTCATAATAACCTTGTGATGACAAAATTTCTAATGGTGTAGTTTCGTCCTTAGTCTTCGGTTCTCATATATCTGACAATTTCTAGCTTGTCAGTCGATTCATTTATTTAAGTACTTCTTTTACACTTTATTACCAACTGAACTCCATGATTTGCACTAAAATACTAACATAAGTAAATTAACGAATAATTCTAACCTGAAAGTTGGAGTTCAAATTAGTATTAAATAAGGATAAAAACAGAAAATTACTACATCCAAAAATGACCTCTCATAAATTTGAAGGCATATTCAATAAGTTACCAATTACATATAATATCAGCTAAGTAACCTCGTAATATATTTTTGTAAATTTCAGTGATTTGGCTACTCGAAATGTTCTAGTTACATCACCAGAACATCTACAAATTACGGATTTTGGTTTAGCAAAAATGCTAGAAAGTGAAGAAGAAGCTAAACGTAACGAAGTAATTGTTTGTTCTGGACGCGTTCCTATCCGTTGGTTAGCCTGTGAAACGCTGACTCATCGTATTTACTCATTCAAAACTGATGTTTGGGCGTACGGTAAGTAAACATCCAGATCAAATTCATCAACCTCTGTGAGATAGATTTCGATCAAAATATTTTTGATATTTCTGGGGAACAGGAGTTTTGAAACGAACAAATATGAAAACCCAGAAGTGTAAATAAGAGAATCTTGCTCCACAGCAAAAAATTATTCAGATTTTCTAGACATTTATATTTTCTTTCAAATCACCATACTTATTATGAAGATTATTGTGCTACTATACCATCCATCTACTATCTGATATACATTCTCCACATAAACAAATACCTAATGAGGACGAACTAATTAGACGAAAATAATCCCAATACTTTTATGGTTTATCAAGATATTTAGACTACGAAACCATATGAAAATGAAGAATAATAAAAGACATATGTTCAGTTGTTTTTATGTATAAAACTGGCTATTTCACTCTTGAAAATGTCCTTAATGGAAAATAATACCCAACACATAAGGTGCAAAATATTCTATTCGTTGTTCGATAAATTCGTAAGAAATATTCTGGAGTATAAAGTAAACGATAGTTATAATCAGGTTCCAAATAAATCACATACTGGAATAGGAGGATAAGTGAATAATAAACCCCAAATGATACAAAATATTCACCTTAAAATTCCCTGGTAACCATTACTAAATAAAACAATTCAATTCAAATAGGCTGTTACTAAATGTGTTGGGAATATTTTTATTACTATATTTGAAATGAAGTTTATTTTCACAGGAAGTTGTACATTTTTATTGCAGCGTAAAAATGTACATAAATATTTCTAAATAAAATATTTCTCAATTAGTGTAATTCGACTGAAACCGACCGTAAGAACGGAAATAAGTTAGATCCTTATGTGTTGCATTGATGAGTTCTGGGTAATTTGAAACTAAAGATAACAACTAGGCATTATGAACTCAAGATTTTGATTCTTAATAATTATGACACACATAACTCTGTAAATATAAAAATTTTGGGATGATAAACGTGAACTTTGTAACAAGTGCTAACATTTGCTTCACATTTTTAGGTGTCACTATTTGGGAGATTTTTACATTTGGCGACAAACCATTTGATCGTATAGAAACGGCCAACGTAAAAGATCATGTTTTAGCAGGTGGACGTCTTCCACAACCTGATATATGCACTCTCGAACTATATCAAGTTATGTTAAATTGTAAGTTCACTTAAAATGTCATGACATGAAACTCATTATTTCAAACTAATTTTCCAGGGCTTACTACAGTCAAGCAGTGTTAACCAATAACTCCGTTAAAATAAGTAAGAGAATAGGTCATAAAAATCACTGACATTGTCCGAAAATAATTGTCATACTTGAAATTAAATAATCTAGGTTTTACTTAATGAGAGCAAGTAATCAGAATTATACGGTTCAGTATTTCACAACTAAAAATATACCCCGTAAATAAACGCAATTTCTGCTCTAGTCGACTAGCTGCATAAAATAATTTAAAACTAACAATTGTTATGCTCAGTTAACAAATTATCTCTAGACTGATTAGGTAGCATTGTGATTAGTAAAACATGTAAACGCTTACTTACTAGAAGGATAATCATACATTTTCAGAATAAGTTTTTACTCTACACCCAAGTGCTTACGCTATAAGCCATGTATCTGTGTCATACTGGACAGACCATAATTATCGGCTCACTTGATATTCAAAGTTTCAAATAGTCTTTCTGCTCTAAAATCGCACTTCAATCATTCTGAGTTTCTTGAGATTTCCTAATATGGAATATTATAATAACCCGTCTTTACAATCTACGGTTGTGAAGCATATTTGCTGATAACAGAAAACATGGATAGGTCACCAATACACGATGATTGAAGATTATTTACCGCAAAGCAGAAGCAATCAATTTTTACGTATTTTATAATATCGGAAAGCTTTATACTCTTTCATTCCTATTCTGTTATGCAGTCCTTGTATATTTCATCATATTTATTCATTTTGTGTACAATTACTAATTACGGCATGAATAGATAACGTAATTTTTCGTAGGCTAACATTTCATTTCTAAAAAAAATAGATGCAGTTTGCCTTCCTTGATGTCGGTAAAGTAGATTTCCATGAACATTTATGATAAATCAACTACCCAGGAGTTTAGGCGAGACTAAAGAACATGGACGAATCAATCAGAAGCTTTCGCGGGTTTTCAAGGTCACGGCGCTAAGTTCGGTACCTGACGCTTACGTACGGTCGGTTTACAAAGGATTTTAGAGAAAACATGATAATTAAGCGTCTACAAGATAAGTTATCATAAGATTTTGTCGCAAAATTCAATTATATATTTGGATTGAGTTGTGGCATTATAGCTGATGTCAGTTCGTGATGAAAACCCTAAGTAAAATTCATAACCTTAACCATGAACTGTAAATCATAATTTGAATTCTTCACACGGGTTTATAACCCTCATTTAGTCTTAGTTATTACGTTGACACTCTCAGATTCACTCTAGCGTCGCTCAAATGTCGTCCATAATTTATAGTCTCATCTTTAACCCTAAACCGTAACCCTTAATCCTAATCCTAAACCCTAAACCATACCAACATACCGACAACACTGAAACTATGTGGTCGAGGCTGAAAGAATTTTCGGGACTTTATCATGGTTCCAGAGGTCGACTACTATGGAGCCACAGGGATGAGTTCCTGTGCCGGATGCACTGTGATTTTAGAACTTCTGAACCTATATCTGACCTTGATAAGTTTTTGATTCATGTAAAAGAACAGTATCCCCTTTGATTTTTGAGTTTTGTATAATATATTTTTATTGTATGCTAACTGTCTTCTGATTGGCCAATATTTCTCAAGGTCATTTAAGATTTGTTCAAAAGTCGTTCATGTTCTTTAGTCTCGCCGGAGTTTACTAATAGATCAAAGAACATTGAAGTAGAAAGCAATATTCACCTTTTCATTTCACTAGTTTAATAATAGTTTTTAAACTTTGTCTTCTGATAGGTTGGAATGAAAATCCTGATGCTCGACCGAATTTCGTGGAACTGTATAACATGTTTAAGGATTTTGCACGTCAACCACATATCTATCTTCATCCCAGAGTAAGGTTCTATATTTTCTGACTAATTTTATTTCTACATTTAGTAATAGCCTTTTAGAGCCTTTCTAAAAAGCATTTTATTACTCCTTTAAAAATATCATCAACTTGGCTTTACTGATGTGATTCAACAACTCTAGGTCGATAATTCTAAATAATAAATAGATGTATTTAGGGTAAAACGGTAGTTTACCCTTAAACTTGTTTCACTTTACTCTTATTTCATTATGCGCTCCCACCAACTGATATGTATGTGTTAAATTGCAGCTAAAAGGAAGTATGGGCTTATGCATCCCTTTTTCAATGTTCACCTTTTACAGTCATTTTTCCGTTCATATGGCGGGTGAGTAGGCATATAAGTGTGTAATTTTCACTGGATATTTCATTTAATGCTCTAACTATCATTATATTTGTGTTTGTTATCGAATATGTCGGGATGCGATGATGTTTTCATAGCAGACAGATGGGGATAACCTTAGATGCCTAAAATAAAATCTTCAGTGAAAATTATACTCATATGCGGCATCTACCCACCGAATGAACGGGTAAACGCCGGAAAATGTTGGATACGCCACATTTATTGAGCACTAAAACAAGGATGGATAACCATACACGAAATATAATACTCAACTGAAACCCGAAATTATGACTGTTATACAATAACACCTGACATTATCAGTATATAGAAAAAAATTTTTCATAACTACCTCTCACAGCTGTCCAACTAAGAGATAAAGAGCTCTTTATGGAACAAAAATAAGACGAATGGAATTTTAAATCATATAGAAATAATTGTACGATACACTTCAAACACTTTACTGCTAATTCAGCAGTTTTTGTACGATCGTTAACACTACAAATCTCTATTAAATAAAATATCTTTCTCGCCTAGTATCAAGGAATCCGGCCTACTATATTATAGCTTTATACAAAAAAAAACATTAGCTAGTACACTGAACAAACTTTATTTCAAAAATGGAAAAATTGTGTTTGATGCATAGCTACCAGTGGACTTGAATACCGGAAATATTTTCGAATAATCTTTAGAAAATCAATATGACTCATAAACAGCATCGATTCTTTCCTATCACTTCGTTTAAATAAATGCCCACTCACTTCAAATGACAGTTTTATTTTCAATACACAGTTCTAAGCCAAAATAAACACCAATAACAGGAACAGTTCGTGAACTCCCAATCGTTCAGAAACTATTATTAAACCTCTAGCTAATATATATATATATATATATATATATATATATATATATATATATATATATGTCTAAATTTTTTTCTTGTCAATGCTTTAGTGAAGTGCAAATGGTTTATCATAAATTATTCCAAACAACTCAGTCAAACACTCACAAATATGTACTAAAGTAGGTTAAATGTTCCTGGTTAGTGAGATAATTAACATCTGAAATTGTAAGTGAGCTCATCTAGCTATAGACAACGTATTGAGCTTCATAAGTTAATTTACTCTAATCCATAACCGCCTACTGACTGATAAGTTGCTTGTCAATGGGGCTTAAAATGTAAAGGCTTTTAATGAGTCAGCTTTCTTGGCAAACGATTAAGATGGTAATTAGTTAATGCAGTTTAGCTTCCTAAGTTTGTTACAATCCATTGACCGGGTGAGTTTCGATTTTATAAAGATTGTAAGTATGGAGTTTGTTTAGTATTCTTCTAGATAAACACATTTTATTTCATTTGTATTTTGTATGACTTACTGTTAGAGGACATTTAAGCAAATAAACACTTTTCAAAATCTTACACTGAAAAAAGTTTTAAAATAATTGTGATCCCTTGAGTTATGATGAAACAAATATTTTTATACCATAAAATGGATTAAGTCATTGGATATCTATCCGTATCCAAATCTTTAGGCTTGATGTTTAAGTAAAAAGACTTCAATACTTTTATCACCGAATAAAAAGTATTTTGCTTTAGGAAATAAACACAGTTTTTCAATATTTGATAAGTTCAAAGTAATCATATTGACTTTTACGTACATCGCTAAACATGTTGACGCTCAGATCGCAGTATCCGATATTCATAAGCACTAAAACATATAAGATTTTATAAATCATGAGGTGTGTAACTATTTATAAAGAAAAAAAATTAAATAGTCACATTTCCATTTTAATTGATCGACATTCAAATTATTAAAAATTACCCATAATTTAATTGTTTATTTGGAGAAATCTTTACTATCCAAATTTTCTTCACTTGATACTTTAGAATGAAAGTAGTTCAAATACCGAAGTGTACAGTAGCACTGGTGACACAAGAAGTCGTACAACAATCTATCCAACTACTCGGTTATCTGGTGAACGTTTTCGACAACCAGACCAAACTGTTCCTTCATTTCATTCAATGAAAAGTAGGAACTCTTGTTCGCCTCTACAAAATTCAAGTTCGAGTAGTGGGTTAACAAATCGGCGCTTTGATATTGGTAGACGTACACGTACCAGTTTATTACTACCTCCAACAGTCCTACAAGCTAATCGTACTGGGAAATATCCGCGACATAAACGACGTAGTGTTGGAGCTCGCACTGACTACACAATGTCAGCCTCCCTAAGTTTAAACTCTGGGATTGGTGAGCGTTGGGGCAATTCATCTTTCGCTACACACAGTCACCCAACGTTAATTAAAGTTGATGAAGCAAACGGGACAGCAAATATTAGCCATAATTTTAAGATAAATAGCAATACATCTGGAAATAACCGAAATAATGAACAGTTTAATGTTGGTCTGTTTCCAACTGATTCATGGGCAAGTAGTGGACAACCCTTATTATCAAGTGACCAAGAAAGTTCATTAAGCCATTTAATGTTGTCGAATTTCGGTTACACAAGTAGTGAAAGCAGAAGCAGTATGACAGTCAACTCCCCTGGCCAACACAATCGAAATTTTTCATTAGCAGGTTCATCAGTTCCAACGGAATCAAGAAACTCAGAACAACAATCTGTAGATGAATCTACGTCGAACACACAGAGAATAGGACTTGACGTGAGAAGTGGTCTTCCAGTCAATACATCATTCGAGGCTGCTGCAGGTTATGTATGGCCTCAGTGGCCTGATGCCATTCCTAATCCAGAAAATAGCAATTTAGACCAGGCAAATTCAAGTGAAACTTCTTATATCTTGACCGCAATCGATTCAGAATCGGAAAACAATTTACCGTTCCTTAACCGTCAACTTTGGCTTCGACGTAATGCTCGTCAGCGGCGTTATTATCTTAGACAGTTGCAAATGCACAGAAGCGTTGCTGACTCCAGTTTGCCAGAACAAGCAGGTGAAGATGCTATGGATGAAACTTCTAGTTGGGCAGAACCCTTGCGATCAAATCAGAGTAACCCCAATGGGCAACAAGAAGACAGTGATACTGATCCAGGTTCTGCGGATAGATACTGGCCTGATCCAACATATTCTACACAAAACGTGTAGCACTATACTAGTTTACGTTTTTGTAACTTTACATCTTTTTATGACCAATTTTCTAATCACATCTTGAGTTTAAAATGCCTTTTCTAATTCATGATCTCATCAGATACAGCAAACATATCAAGTATCAACAGCTCGAAATGTGTAAATACCTCGTCCATATTTACTTTCGGTTAATATGAATATATTATAAACTGACTTTGTGCTTCACCTAGCGACTATATCATTTTCGAAACTGATTGCATAAAATTAAAGCCCATTCTTTCTGTAAATGTATCATCCTGTATATTTAGGCTCATAATATTTATTTATCAATCTCCAAAAAAATCATGTTTATGAAGAATGATCTTATCTGTATTGTAAACTAATCAAGTATACTATTGTGTGCACGGTTAAGAGTTGTTCCATGCTAAAAACATTACGTTAGTTTTTATAAGTTTCGAAGATATGGCTGGAGAGAATATAATGAATTATTTAAAAGTTATGACCAGTTTTTAATTATCCATAAGCAGTTGACTACAAACAAGTAAATATAATCAAAATGAGGTGAACCTTACACAAAACTATAAACGAGAATTAGTTTTCGGAAAGTAAAGAATAATTCAATGACTCTCTTTTTGTTGTTCTAACACAAGATATGGTTATGGGAGTTGTTGAGTTTCATTGAAATCACGAACCAGTCAATGTTAGACCACCATTGAAAACCTGTAAGCAATATACAGCCGATTCCTCCTATTAAGGGACTCCTCAGCAGTAAGCATCTACTACATGCAAGCTTGGATCCAACTCAGGACCTTCAGTCTCGCGTACTAACGCTTATTGTCTAGACCACTGAGTTGGCATCCAAGGATGTCTGATTTTAATTAGTTCACAATATTGTGCTGTCATCTTCAATTTTCTTCGGTGAGAAACTGCCAAACATCTGATTAAGTTGAACTCCACTGATTACGGCATTTTACTAGAACTCCGAGAATGCTCTCTCGAAGCTATTCACTAGTAAGCACACGATAATTATCAGTAATGGGTTGGGTAGGTTGTTTATTTTCATGTTTAATGATATAAAATGAATTTTTGTGAGGTGTCAGAGAGAAAACAACTGTAGTATGAGAGTTAGAAATGGACGTAAATTGACGGGAATCGATTTGACGAAGTTCACACATCAATCGAAAAATCTAGTGGCTATTGGAGTTTTAGTGAAGAAGAACCCAGGCGAGAACAAGCAATTTATTCTTTATTACAGGATGTACTGGTAAAATATAAGAACCATACATGTATACTTCATTTGTAAATCTTTCATCAATCGTCCTTCACATTATTTATGCTTCTTCCAATTCACAGTTCCTCTTTATTTCCCTTATTGTTTTCTTCAACTTGACCTTTTTAGCTTTTTGCTACCAGGTTTTCCACTTCCGATTAGTGTTACATACCACTTATGCCAATCGGTAAAAGTAGCACTTATCACACTCGTTCCCTCTTTGAACGGTTACTCTTGCAGTTTTTTTGCTCGTCGTGCCACCCTCTTTTCAGATGCACTCTGTGACACTCCTCCCGTCAAAATGTCGAGTTCTCTGGTGCGCTGACCTTCATGACAGTGTCGACATTACGGGCCACCTGCCTCCGATGTCCACCCAGCAACTGCACGTCCCAATGCCTCTATCCATCGGCAGCAACCGTTACGACCCGCCAGAATACTCCACTCGACATCACCTTATGTCTGTCGACATGAGTAACAGGCATCACAGTACTACGGAAAGTAAGGTAGTAGTGGAGTTAATAGGTCTTATATGGTATTCTCAAACATTAAACAAAAATTTTGGTTAATAATATGTATTCGGATCATAAACGGAATACTTGTGTTGACTGATATAAGAAATGAATTTTTTCCCCAAAAAAGGATAATAATTGAAATGAAAATTTCATGGAGTTACTCGCACGTCCTTTGGCTTCCATCAACGCATTAGATACACTTTTGTTTAGTTGAATTTAAGCCACAATATTCTATACGGCAGTTACATTTACTGTCCATATAGAACAACCTACGAAAAGTCCTTCCACTTAATCAACGTTTGGACATTGAACAAGTCTAGCACCCAGATTCCAAATCGATAGCTTGTAGTGACTTTGCTTCGTTAATCGATCACTTTGACAACCGTTACAACATAAGTCTCAAAAGTGTTTTATATCAGAAGACAATGAGAAGCGGCAACTACAGTAAAAATCCCTCTATGCATGCATCTGCAACTTCTTTTTATTTTCTTTGATTGAACATTTTTTTAATCTTTTTGATGCCATTCGAGATGGTAAATATTTTACTTTATTATGGTTTTCTCATTTTTTCTCTCCACCTCAGTGTGTTTCTTCCTGAACTGTTTTTATGTTGTCCTAGATGATGCTTAGTCTTGGCGGCATCCATATTGTTTGTCCTCCCTTTGATTGTGTTGCTTGAGTTGATTGGGATTGTGCATTTTGATTGTGAATTGAAACCTTTTCAAGAATTGGAAGCCTTTTGTTTTATAAAGCAACAAAATATTACCTTTTGAATGGATTTTTACGCGATCTATCCAGAAAGGATAGAAAAACACTTATTTTTCGGGACTTTCGGTAATTTTCTTACATTCCTTATCAATTTGCCTTCTTAATTTAATTTAGATCGATTATTGAGGGAACAATTATTGGTTGAATAACTGAGCAATAATATTTGTCTAGGTAATAATGTACATTTGTATTTATAATGAAATTTAGAACCGTTATGTTTCCAATCACCTTGTTTTGATCACAACTAGGCAATAGCGCGTTACTAGACTACCCAGACAATTATTCTTCAGCTCAAACCGTAGTTTGGATCTTACCATACTTTCTTTGTAACCATAACCATAATCACTCATTTGGTTGTATAAACGAATTCGGAATTCATTTATATTTCCATTCAAATTAAACTGTAGACAGTTTAGATTTACCCTGGATAAAGCATTTGTAAAATGAAATTAACGGTGATGTGTATGAAACCAGCTTGTTTACATAATATATCCTCGCAAAAAGGTGCATGGACAGTTATGGAGTTAGAAGTGTGTGACTATGTATCTTAAATCACTTTGATTTTCATGAAATGGGGTCCGTGTTAACGTACTGTTCCACATGGAATTTGTTAACTGGGTCAGTTGATCCAACTGAAAACAGTGGTTTTTAAAACGTATAATCTATACAAAGGAAGCGACTGGAGTCCTGGAGAGCTTTACCAGTAGGTGTGTGCATGTCTCTATATTGAAATAGAGTTGTTAACGTTTTTGACTTCTTTCATTTTTCATGGAACAGTAGTGCGAATCGAACTAATTTATGATCGCTGTTGTTAAACATTTTATCAACCACTATGAATCCCAGTGTGACGCTGTGACAGATTATGGAGTCGATAATTTTGTGGTTGTGTGTGTTCAACTCACGTGTCGCTGTTAATCATATATGGCTAAAGACCTTTACATAATTTCAAGGCACTATGAGTCAGAGTTTTTCATCCAGTTAATGCCTGGCATATTGAGATCACTGAAGATCATTTTCCTGTCGAAATATAGGGTAGCAATCTACGCAGGCGATTCACAATAATGTCTGTTTAACAAAACGTGTTTGGGGCTCCCTATTTAAACCCCATTAATATTTTGTGGTTACAAAAATATGTCCCATGGACATAATCATACCAGACGCTTTTGTGAGGACAACATCAACAACGGTTTCCAACCTTGTGCTTCTAGATATGAATATTAGGCAAAAATTCCAGTTTCCGAGCCTCAGTCATAACGACGGAGGTTGTAATTGTTTTTGTAGGAATATTTGGACCTGAGACAACTGACTTTCTATTATACAAAAATGTGAGTTCTATAGATGCACCAGGACTCGTAGATAACTCATATTACTTAAGGCAGATCAAGCATTGATTTGAAGTGGTACCAAGTTGAGCAAATGGCTGTGTAAACAAACTGATCAATTCAATATAGTTTCTGGCGTACACATTTATGATGTGCGTCAGACGTTTTCTAAGCGTAAGGAGATCCAGATTTTACTGGTATTATGGAGGCCATATTTTTGATGGTTTCTATTTTATAAGTTACTATTGCTTACTTGCATTACGCCAGAGAATTGGCTCCAACAGCGAATCCAGCGAAGAAAAGTGGTTAAACATTGATTTTTAGTCTAGACTCTGAAAACATCTTGGAATCCCGATAGGCCTGAAGTAGGAATTGATAACTCCATTATGAAGAATGAATGTGACACAGCGTTAAAAGACTATTGTTGTAGGGAATGAAAATTATTTGAAGCAGTGACAAACTGTCAGGCAAACTATCAGCTGAACAGAACATTCAACTATCCGCTTAATATCGGATGGCTAAATCGTTTTCTACAGAGTTGTTAATAAGAACCATCCTTAGTAATCATTATAAGTCATTAATCTTCATTCGTTATAGCCCCCTTATTCCTGGAGAGGCATTAAAAGAACATATGCAAATAGACACCCAGATCTCACCGATTAAAGATGAACGTAACACACACGTAGAAGAATGGTTTTCGGGTTTTTCAGAAAGTATAGTTTTCTTGATAACAAGTCAAATCATGCTTAGCAAGATGATGGACACGAATATGTCAAGCTGATCTAGAGCATGCAAAATTTTTTCAAGGAAGCACTCCCAAATGAATAAGACCGGAGAAGATTGTTCTGGATCATTTGATTGCAGGTGTGAATTTTAATTCATTCCAAAAATATTGATGGAGCAAGCCTCAGAAAGTTTTGATCTTTACAGTGAAAGGGTAGCTTTGAAAATTTCGAATAAATTGTGGGCTGGAGCAATGTGAAAGTCTTCTGACAAACGAATTCCTCTGAAAGTGTGCAAAAATGGGTGGATTTTCTGTCAAACGTTATTATGTACCCATTACCAGAAGTTAACCGCGATCGCACCAAATGGTTTTATGAAAATCAAGTTGTGAATATACTGAATGTTTTGTTGATTTGGTATTGCACTTGGTATGTAGTTGTGCATAGAAGAGTTATTGTCCTTGCTACAAAGGTCGAAAGCCTCAACGGCATTTCATTTTATGATATCAATAACATAGGTATAAAAATTGCCAATAGTCACCGTATGACCTGTGGAACATATATATTCATCAAATTTGGAAAGTGTTTAGGTTTGAAATAAAGAGCATTCAGATTCTCTAAAGCCGTGTATTGACTGACAAAGGCCTAGTGAAATTACAGAACTCAATTCCTTCCCATCGACTAAAATACATGATATTTTAGACGCAAATGCACAGCCATCTGATGGAGTTGCACTCTGAAAAGTTACCGTGTCTGCGCCTTACAGTTATTCCATTCAGCATATGTTATACACAGATGCCTCTCAGTACCGATCACGTCCTGCAATACGACCTGTCTGAAAACTAAAGACAGGACTAGCCAGATGTCAGTACGTTTTACTCAACAACACATCATAATGGTGGTCACTTCCGCTGCTGAAAGCACGTAGAACTACAAACACCGGAATTCGGACAAACCTCATGGTGAAAAAGTACACAATCTTACAAAAATTATAACGGCAAACACATACTCCCTACGGTGTTGCTGATTTATTAAATTTCATCAGAAATTACTGAAATACTCTTTTATGACGAAAATGAAGCTTATCTTCATACATGCACAAATGTTGAAGTCACGTTTTTGACCCATAAGAAAGTAAGTATGACAAAGCCACATGCACGTTACACATCCTACTCAGTTACTAGCACGTATATTCGCAAGTGAACTGTGGTTAAATTTTAAAGATACGTTCGATAAAATTTAACCACTATAAAAAATTACTATTGATCTGGTTTCCACGTTTAAAATCGACCTAGACATGCAGGTCAGGTTACGATTGTTAGCAAACAAAATTCCAACGACACCTAAACTCAGAAAATTCTTAAAAATATTGGTGAACAAGTGCTCTTCGAACAGTATTGGTAACGACTCAGTGCTTGCTACAGTCTTAGTGATAACATGGACGATGATAGTCAAAATGATGGTCTATAGAAGAGCAATTTACTGGATCCTGTCGGCACATGATATTTAAACCAAAGTTGTTTTTCTCGAGTAAACTGTCTAGTATCATGAACAGCACTGCTATGTAACGTTGAAGAGGCTTTTTCCAGACATGATATTACTGATGTCAAACAACACTATAATGATCATCAAGTGACATATACAAACCAGAATTTCGAGTCTAATTGTGGTGCCATTATTAGCATCATAGGTTAACCTAAGCGCCATGTGCCAACAAATAGTACGTGCAAATCTTTATATTTACATAATCTTTTCATTCGATGTTACTGCAACGTGTTAGTGATTTATAGCCCGTCATAGATTCATGTGGTTGAATTCCAACGAAAATCCTTCAGTCATAATACACTTAATATTAAAAGAAAATACTACTTTACTTGAATAAATTTTTGAAGCTGTTAAGTTATTCCATTTTTCATTATAAAGGTTAGTGTGAAAAATGGTCAACATTGAATTCGCAATTGAGACATAGAGAACATTAGTACTGACTGAGGTGCTGAATACTCCTCCAATGAACGAACACAAAAAATATACGGAAATCTGGGACTTGGAACTATTTTCACTGTTTGGTGAGAAACTTTCACTTTGTATTTGTTTAACTGCACCAGTTGCTTAACCCCTTGGTCTCGCGCCTCGGACCTTGAGTCATCCGACTGGTCTTGGGTGAGTCATCTGTTTTGTCACTGGACAATTATGTAATAAAATGGATAAAAGTCAGATTCCGAATGAAACTCCCAGTGCGGAATCCAGTTCTATTAAACCTACAACTGCACCTCGCCCAACAACACTAAACATACTGTTGGACAATACAATAAAAAGTCCAGCATTATCTTCTTTCCTGACACCTTCTCTAGAAGAACTCCAACCGATTTTACGTTCAGAGGTGGAAAAAATTCTTCAACACCTGAAAGCGTCTCCACAGACTCCTGGAAGCTTCCTCAATCCTAAGCATGTTACTGAAGAACAAGAGAGGTTCGCTAAGTAAGTAATATTCCTAGTACATCCTTTTCCTCCAGTGTTTTTACTCAGAAGTTGAATGAGCTACGGGATGCATCTAGTTTGGCCTCTCTGACTGCGGCTCTTAGTCCTGTTACTTCTGCGGTAAATAATAGTGGTTTGTACAATATTAATTTGGCTGATTTCAACTCTCAAAATCTACCAAACTTTGCCGAACTATGTCGTCAGGCAAGTCAAAGTGGAATCAACACAACTCCAGCATCTATACTTTTTTACTCGCCAGCTTGCTTCGATGCTCAGTCTTTCCCGAATGTTCAGACTGTTACTCCAGGTCTTGTTGCTTTTCAGCCACAACAGACTGATTCGGTCAACTCAACGTCTGAACAGAGTATCACACTAACAAATTTACAAAATTCGCTTTCTATTTCTCTTCCCAATACTGTCCAACCAGTCACGGAGAGTGAAGTTACGACTGTTCAACTGCCTAACGGTCTGCGTCTTGGTATAACGACCAATGGTGCTTCACAAGCGTCAGTTCTTCAGATGCTAGGTATTGAGCCCCAACCAGAGATTGTCCATCATGCCCATATTCCTAATCCATCTTTAGATCCGTCTCTTTGGCCTCTAAACATACAAACAAATCTACCCCCTAACGACACTTCCGATAGTCGTCGTACAGCTTCAGCAAGTTCACCACAAGACCCTGATGATGCTCGTCCTTCTTCAGTAGATATTAATTTAGAGCAAAATGATCCGATGCGGAACGTCAGGTCATCTTCCGTTTCTTCTGTTTCTTCTTCGTCTCAAGGAAATAGTTCTAGGAACCTAGCTGTTTCTAATCTCAAGGACACACGTTTGGATCCTACTGAGCAGTCGCGCATGCGGTTAGAGCGGAAGAGAGCAAGAAACCGTGATGCGGCTCGTAAATGTAGGGAAAGAAAGATTCGTTTGATTAAAAGTTTGGAGAAGGACGTCATTCATCTCTCTGAAGAAAACAGGGCGTTGCGCAATCGATTATCTCGCAGCAGAATTGAGGTAGAACGTCTGAAAATGTTTGTTGTCAATCATCTTGACAAGGACTGTCCTGCTTTATCTAGTAAGGTAGCTTAAATCAGTCTTCACCAGTAGCTAGTTTAATTTTATCTTAGCAATCCTCTTGTTTTCCTATTTTTTGTGTGAAGCGCCTATCGGTAATAAGTTAGTTAATTTCGTATAATATTCACAAGTATTATCGGTCTAATTTACCTTGCTTCTTGCCATCCAAACTATATTAACTAGTGACTTTGTCCATGTGATTTTGTTCTGTGCACCCACTTGATAATATTCGCACTTCGTTTCCATTGTACAGACTCATCTACCTCATCGCTTTTGGCATCTAAAAGCTATCCTATTATAAGTCAGATTTTTGTTTGATATTTACTAACCTGTTGTTCAAAGATTATCTTGTGTGCTATTTCAAAAAATCTAACTTATCTAGTCGTGTTTCACTTTTCATTGTATCGGTATGTTTTGTTACACATAATTGCTAGGGCATTGTGGATCGCAAATTAAAACATCCTATTTAACGGAGCAATAGTTAGTTCCAGGTCAGAAATACGTAAAAGAAACTAAATGTATAATCAAAGAATTTAGACTATCATAAAACACTCGTCGGCTTAACATCGTTCTAGCTTAGTCATGTGTCACTTATTTTCATTTCCGTTAAAATTATTTAAATTAAAGATTTTGAACATCATAGTAAATTCCCTCGTTACCTGGCGATATATCATTGCCATGCATAGGTCCTAGAATATTCAGACTTTATAACTGTTTTGGAACTAAATCCCAAAGTGCTGTTATCAAACTAAGTAAAACATCTGAAGTTTTCTGAACATACAAGAAAGGTTTCTTCAAAAATGCTCTGCTAGAAATAACTTTTCATAGCTCATATGTTTTCGTTTAACGCGAGGACATCCTAAACATGACCACTGCGTTATGTATATTGTGTTAAGAACATTTACGAATAGGTAACGAAAACTGTCCACTGAGAACGTGTTTTGTGATTGATTGCGTTGTTGGTTGTTTCTGAAACCTAATATAAGCAATTCCTATAACTCTAGAGAGCTGTGGTGTACTATCAAGTATAGCTACATACTGTAGTTGCTCCGTTACTCAAGCATTTGTTCCCAGTAGTCTTTCACAGCGCAGTGCTTGTAATATTTATTTCCCTAAAGAGACAACGAGTCCTGATTTATTTGCTTTGACTTTCATCTCAACGATGAAATTTCGTTTTTAGCCATAATTCACCGCAGAGAAGTGATCTATTCGACTCTACTACTCTCATATATTATATAATATACATTGTAGTATTTTTATTAATATTTATTCAAATGCTCCCATGACTTGTTTGAATATTGTTCGTACAAACTAGGTACTTACTGGGGGCGCTATGCTAACAGCTGTTATGTACGCTTCTAGTTAATTATCAATAAAACTATCGATATATTTTTCCATGATAATCATAGTGAGGATTTTCAATGAAATAGCTACTGCATTCACTCTTTATCTGTGCTTAGATCCTAGGTTTCTATGTTCTATATATTTTTTTAATTATTTCACTAATTTGTATTCTCAAATTGTATCTTGGATCCCTCTCGATGGTAGGTTCTACCTTAAAGTGGTGGTAGGGTTTCCCTATCGTAATGACCCGACTGAGCTATGCTGGCTGGAACACATGTTCCTGTATGTTCTACCATGCCAGGAAGGTCGATTGGAGAACGATAGGATTAAAAGGAGCAACTCAAGGTCTGAGGGCAAAGTCGTATTGCTGACTGTAGAGGGGTGTGACAGCAGTAAGGTGTTTCCCTCGAACAACCAGCATCTGCAGCGATGCTACCTTCTCACAAGGAAGGATAGGGTTAGAAAACGTCGACCCAAAAATGTCACACCTCGCCTTACCTCACGCATTTCCGTCTCCGGTGGTAAGGCTCTTTGAAGAACGGAGCTAACACGTCAAAAACCTCCCACAAAAAGGCCGTGCGTGACCGGCCTCAAACAGCTGTCCCTTGAACTCTGCGGTCACGCTCCTAGGTCGTTAAGAGCAACATTAATCCAACTTCCTCTTCAGGCTCCTCAAGAAATACACTTCCACGGTGTGGACAGCCGGGAAGTGATATCAGCCCTCATATTCGTAACAGCACACGAGATTGACTGAGTATAGTGTCTAAAATATTGGCTCCAATAATACTTCGATGTCTAACTAAATCTCACGAAGAGCAGAAAAAATCAGGCTGGTTTTCGACCTGCACGTGGTTGTATAGACCAGATATTCACATTACATCAGGTTCTAAAACATAGACACACTATCGTAGTATTTCTCGACCTTAAGGCGGCATTTGGCTCTGTTGATCGTGAGGTTCTGTGACAGTGTTTGTCAGTGAAAGGAGTACCAAAGAAGTACATTAGCCTTATAAAGGCTTTCTACTCGAACACAACTGGTTGAGTTAGAGCTTATGGCGAACTTTCATCAGAATTGATTACCTGAAGTGGTGTTCGTTAGGGATGTCCTTTACTCCAATCTTGTTTGACTTTATCGTAGACGTGCTCTTAGAAATAACTCTTTCCTCATCTAAATCTCCAGGAGTTTGAACTTTTACCGGGAGATTCACTTGTTGACTTAGAATACGCCGACGACATAGTTTTATTCGGCGAAGACGCTGACAAAATGCAGAGTCTTCTGACCACTATAAGCAACAATGCAGGCATGTTCGGGATGCGATTCTCTCCCTCGAAGTGCAAAATGTTACTTCAGGATTGGGTTGCATCGACACCTAAACTAATGATAGGGAGTGAAGTAGTTGAGTGTGTTGACAGCTTCACTTATCTTGGGAGTCTCATCAGCCCTTATGGTCTGGTATGTGACGAAATCTCAGCACGGATACAGAAGGTTAGCTATCGCCAACTTGCACCATTTATGGCATAGGCGAGATATCCGTCTAGCAACAAAAGGACGGGTTTACTGTGCAGCAGTTCGTTCCGTCCTACTTTTTGGCAGTGAAACATGGCCGATAAGAGTAGAGGATATTCGTAGGCTACTAGTATTCGATCATAGGTGTCTTCGAAGCATTGCTCGTATATCCTGGGACCACCGAGTAAATAATGCAGTTGTTAGGAAACGGGTACTAGGTAAGGATGGAAAATCGATTGATGAGGTAGTGAAACTTCATCAGTTAAGATGGCTGGGACACGTGTTACGTAGCCCAACCACCGGCGTGCAATATTTTTCATGGTGTAGGAGTAGGTTAAAAGAAAGCTAGGGGCGGCCAGACCAAGACGGCACAAATCCATGAAGTCACTGACAAGTGGACTGGGCCATGTTGGTAGGTGTAGACTACTTGGTTGGGATCCGCGAGATGATAGCAATCGATGGTTAGAGACCGTGAGTGACATGGCTCAAAATCGTTTGCAATGGCGAAGGTGCATCCACTCTTTGTGTTCTGCCAAATTCTGAGTTCTTCGTGTCCCTTTCTTTTTTCTCTTTCCAAATTTATTTCACTGGATTATACTCCTTGAATAACATCTTCAAACCTAATCTTTCGGATTACTGTTTATACTCTTACTAAATCTACCACTATGGGATTTGGATTGACAATTGTATGTACGTACGAAGTTCTACGTTGTTGCTGGCTGACTTGGGTCCCTGTTTTTTTCTATTGCCACATATACTGTTACTGTCTCAACTATGGGATATTTCCTGACAATTTCATCTCGCTGTGCTGCGTTTGACCAACTGATAAGTTGTTGGACTGCTCAGGTGTCTTTATTAATTCTTCATGGTAGTCTTAGGGAATCACATTTTAGCTCTGATTCGAAATTTTCTTTTAGATGTTAGCAACTGGTGATCAGTTTCTGTTCATACACTGTTTGATTTATCAAGGCTAATTGCAGCAACTGTTTGTAACCATCGTTTATAAACTCAGTTTGCTAGGTTCAGGAGTTACTCCTACGACGTGTGTTCATTCAATTTTATTTAAAATTCCACTTTACAGTAACAAGTGGCTTTCAGAATATTATGAGTAACATGCACTACCATAAGATGCAAGTAATACTCTGCTTATGACCAACCTTATTGGGACAATACATTTTTTTAAAGGATTACCTACTAAAGATATGGGTGGCTAAGGATGCGTATCATATGAATTTATTTACACTTTATCGAGAATTTTAATCTGGAACTAGGAAGTAAGTCACCTAACACTAGATTGGTGGATAGTGGCAAGGCATACCAAAAATCGATTTACTAAGCAACATGTACATGAATTAGTCTACACGACCTCAGCATAAATAACCGCTAGATTCGCCCACATTATTTTCACTCTGTATTAACCTTTATTTTATTTAAACATACATATTGGTACAAAGGGCACCGGATACATATGCGCCACACAAAATAATGAAAGTAGGAAGAGAAGGGATGAAGTGTACAACCAAAAGACTCTTTCAGTTAAGAAAGTTAGGACCACTCTTTATGAAGAAAGTAAAAGAAGGTTGCAGCAGGATCGCCACTGGCTTCTATTCCTAGCCATATCTGATAACGTCTCTAGCCACTGTGTTGCACCATCTCTCGGACCCCAGCCAGGGAGTAGTGAAGGACCAACAGAAGCTAGCCCTTTGCAGCCTTCTTTCATGCCACGACACCATGTCATACACTTACCTCCTCTCCGCTTTTTCCAACCAGTCCCAGAGTCGACAAATAATGCACGACGTGGAATTCTCTGGAACGACATTCGTAGAACATGTCCAATCCACCGAAGTCGGTGTTTCAAGATGGTGACACCAATTGAATTATCGTCTCTGCGCCCGAACACACGACGCCGAACCTCTGCATTACTAACATGGTGTTGCCACTGTATGTCAGCAATCCTTCGGAGACAACGATGATTGAACACAGAAAGTCGTCTAAGATCCTCAACTTGTAGAGGCCACGTTTCACAAGCATAGAGCAAAACTGCTCTCACCGATGCGTTGTAGATCCGACCTTTTACAGCCAGACTAACATCACGAAGGCGCCAAAGATGGCCCAGATTGACCTACTTTGTGTGTACTACATGTGTTTTGGTAAATAACTTTTC